AAGTGATACACTACTACCGTACAGTGAAAGTAAAACCCTCAGTAGCATAAAAACAACCCTGCATTCATTTAAATGAGACATTAAAAAACAAAACACTGTTGGGTCACCTTACAAAACCAAACCTTTTGTTTAGAGGACAGAAGAAGAAAAGAGTGCCACTGGGAATATAGAGGAAGGATGTGGGCACTTTATTGCGATGAAACATTCTCATCTCAGCCTTGCTGATTTGGTCTGTGTGCAAAATAACGTCATCAGAAATCTAAATGTTAAGGGAGCTGATAAGCGTACTCTAAAGTCTGTTTTTTCCACACAGTCAATACTTCCTTTGTTTCCAGACAGGTTTTAGGAATGCCTGCAGTACATTTCAACATGTTCGACATGCATCATTAAGAAGAACTAGTCGACGTCTTCTCCTTGCTATATTTACCTAGACAAACAATATCATGCAGTGTACAGCAACTACTTTGTAGTGTTTTTGTCACATGAAATAATACAGATAATAATGCAGATAAATACTGAATTAAACTAGACTAGTAATAATTATTTAATTTAAAAAATCAGTATGCTTTTGTTCTGTTCAAGAGTAAAATGTGTTTACATTTTGGTCTTTCAAGGACAAAATTACACCATGCACTGATTCTGTCTTACAGTTCCTCTCGAGTTCCCTTTAGTATTCAATATCGGTATTACTTTGAGCTCCGTTTACAGTGACAAATATTCCATCGCTGCTTTGACAACCTCTACTTCTGACAGCTATGTACCTGAAACTTACGTGCCAGAAAATATGTTGCCTTAAGACACCTGTGAGCTGTCATTACCAATCTTAGCTGCAGCAGAACTGAAGAATATAACAGCATTTTAAGTTATTGCTTAGATTTTTTTTTCCATTTTGATACTTCAGAAAACAATCTAGTTCATGTAAATGACTCCTAGTTATTAAAAATATACCGTAGTCTAAATGTACAGTGAAAAACAGAGGGAAACAAATCTTCATTCGCCAGTCCTTAAAGCAGCCACTGTGTGTTGTGCACGTCTTCATCTTCTTCTGTCCCTAGAATAAAATGCCATACGAGTGTAACGTACCGTGTTTGCGTTGAATTTTAATCTCATAAAAACTCACTGAAAAGTTCCATAAACAAGTGCTGTTTTAGTCCTAATTTGTTTAATTTAATTAAATAATCTCATATTTTAAGCATGATGTAAAGCAAATGCTAACTATTATGCAACATCAGCTTATCCTAACAGGACTCATCACTCAGTAACACGCTGTGAACCACGGAGGTTAAAGCCTAGCACCTGACAAACCTTGACCTCTATAGCTCCACGCTGGAAGCCAAAATCCCATCAACGCTGACTGTGGGGTGCCATTGAGGACCGAGCAGAGTCCCTGGACAGAGTGGCCACGAAAGCTACCGTGTCCCTCCACACTGGTGAGAATCAGTGAACTCTTGACTGCCCTCACAAAAGGAATCACCTCAGCACTTTTGGAGCCAGGAGAAACAAAATATGCTGAATTTCACACCGTTGTCATGGAAAAAGAAGCCAAGTAGGAGGTGACAAAAAGTTGGATTTATTCATTGTACTGTTTCTCCAGCTGTCTTGCTTTAGTGGACAAGCACTCCTTGTTTGTATTGAGAAGTAGTTCTATATGGAGTCAATTTTAATTTTCTTTTAAATTTAAAATGTATAGACAACAAAACATACAGCCAAAAAGGAAGCAACAGACAGAGCAGTCTCTCAACAGTAAGTGCTCTCAACATTTAGCATATAAACAGCCAAGCGCTTTGCATGAAGTAAAACCAGCGATACACTGGGTTTTTTATGTCTTTTGTTGCTTTCAAGGACTTTGTTATAGTCAAGCATTTTAGAAACACTTTACAAAGCCAGAAAACACACAGGCCTAACTTTCCTCAGGCCGAGCACTGACAGGTTGAACCTGCCACAACATGCCACGAGATGAGAGGGAGCAGACGAGCCCACCATGAACATGACCTGCATGTCGAAGACAAGCCCGGTGACAAGGGTGGGCAGGAATCACAGATGAGGTACAGAGAGTAGACGTGGCACTTCCTTTTTCCTGTCACAACCACATACAAGATCTGCTGTTATGACAACTATGATAGAATGAAAAGATGCAAACACAAACTATTCTATGAAAAAAAAAATGCACCACGTAAGGGCAATGAACTGTTATGCAATGAGATGTATGCAAACATTCACACTGATTTCGCCATGTCTGTGAGGGCCTTCACATTAAATCCAACTCTGCATTACGTGCCAAACTCATAACACTTTCCCCAACATAAAACTAATCCTAATTCTGGTCTTCACTCTTAATGCAATCCAAATCCTCTAAAACCCTTTAAACAAGTCAGGAGTGGCAAAATGTCCTCGATTTCTATCGCTGTGACAAAATACAACAACACAAACTCCAGCCAGACACATTTGTTTCCTCCATCTGTGGAAGTAGCTGCAAATTTCGGAACTACAAGTGAGTCAGACAGTTATTACAGACTTAAAATGACTTCATCAGCACAATACAATCTGTATGAACACACAAGCCTAACAACATCAAACACTGATTCACCAAAGACTTATTACTGACACTGACAGTCGTTTATGTTGTTGGCATGCTGGTACTACAAGATTGTTTGGGCCGACTGAGGTTGTGGTTTCTGTAACCAAAGGATTCTCTAACAGTACTTCCAGTGAAAAAGGCAGCAAAACAACCAACAGTGCTACAAATTTGAATGTCTCACTTCCTGATGACCTTGCTCCTGAGTGAAATCACTCAGTAGCCTGAGAAAAAAATAAATAAATAAAGCAGGCATGACATTGAAGACCTGATTAATGTTTAAGGTTACAGAAGAGGGCTTTAAAAAAAATCCCAATCTTCCTTTTATTACCTCTTCAGTTTTTTTATTCATCGGCCTGGATATGAAAACAGCTTTTCAAGAGGATTTACTGTAGGCTTTGTGACTCGTCCTACCAACGGACACCTCTCTACAGCTCTGCAAATGAGTGCTCTGCAACTGCAGCCGACTGACTGTAAAGAAGTGAATGTGTGTTGCGTGATGGGAAAGAGCCTCTCTTTAGAGTGGAGTGCCGAGGTGGAGTGGGGTTTCTGGCTAAAGTGCAACAAAGACGGCACAATCTTCTCCCGAAGAGCTGATGTTTTTTACCCCAGTCGGGGGAACTTGAGTAAGAGAAGACAGGTGTACGTGTGAGTGTGTGTCTGTGCTGAAAGAACAGGAGGCTTTTAATCACAGAAAGACCAAGTGTTCCACTTCCCTGCATGGCATCCATCACCACAGCCCAGTTCTCCCCGACCCCTCCATCTTCAATCCCTCCTTCCTCATCCCTCCAGTGCCTCTGCTGGCTCACCACCCAGTCCCCCAACACCCCCCCCCCCCACACACACCCACACACACACACACCCTCCAACGATTTCTTGCCAGTGAAGCATGCTACCGAAGCAAAGCTCCTTTTCCTCAGGATTTATAATCCCAAGGGCTCCAGCAAAAAGGTGGCTGAAAGAGCTCTTTATAAAGCCAGGGGCAGTTGGTGGCTCACCTCGGGACGGTCACTACACTCAGCATTAGCTCTCAGCCAACAGGATCATAAGCAGGGAGTTTTTTTTTTTTGCTGGGTCACACTGAATAAGATAAGATATCCTTTACCTTCCCCTGTAGGAAAATTTGTCCTGAACACCCACCACAAAACCGAATCACAGACACGAAGACCTTTTGACAAGCCTCTTGTTTAAAGTACACACAATCACATTTGAAGCCTGCATGATAATGACACAAAATACATCTCATATGATCAAATCAGCATGTCCTAACCTGATTACACAAGACTACTAATGGTGCTGACTGAAAATTACTGGACTGCACTGGTGAGCTAAGTGCTTCAGCAATGAGCCACGGTGACCTAATACACACCCGAGCAGAAAATCTAGCTCCTCTTCCTCCTTATTTCCTAGTTACTGACTGTCACACTAGTCTTGCTGCAACACAATAAAAGCACAATATGCATTTAACTCAAGTTATAGCTAATTTACAGACCATTTTCATTTTCAACCCAGGTAAAACACACAGGTGCTAACATTTTTCCAGGTAAGACTGAAAGCACTGTGGGCCTGAATTAACATGATTTACTTCCAGAGAATGTTATCTGAGACTGTGTCACCAAAACGCACCATCATCTCTGGCAGCTGCAAGACAACCCCAGAGCAAACATACCCCCCCTCCTCTCTCGCTTCTGCACAACAAGGTGAAATACTGTTTTAAAAAAAAGCTGTAGTGAGACACAAACACACTCTCAGACTCTCAGTGCGGCTGAAACTGCTACCTTGCTTTCTCCTCGGTGAATATCGGACACAAAGTGGAAGTAATGAGCACTTAAACAATAGCTGCGAGCACTTTGCGGTGAATTACAGACACCGGCTGAGGGGCGCATCAGTAACGAGGCGCAGCTGTAAACAGGTAGCTTGATTACGAGGAACGACTTGAGAGTTGAACGCGTTTCTTTTACCAACCTGTTCGAGACGTGGTACCTTAGTGCAAAAAGATGATGTCAATGCCCGCATTAACACGCTGATACTATCACTTCTTATACGGTAGCGTAAGGCTGCTGTGGAGTAACAATGGGACCCCCTGCTCGCTGCGGCGATTAACGTCCTGATTTCCTTAAAAAAAAAAAAAACCAGCTAGCGTTGAGGTTAGCTTCAATGTGGCTAACCGAGCAAAATGCTAAAAAGCTCCCGCAGTTTAATGCCTCGCGTTAGCTTTTAGTTTTAAGGCTTGAGAGGGGGCTAGCTGCCTCGGTCGACCACCACACATTTCACAACAAAAAACACACACACCGCCGCAATGACAAGTCGCCCACTCCCGAGCACACACAGCTAAAAACACTGCGCCGCTTCTTGTTCTTCCTCCAGCGTTCAATTCCTCAACAACGGAGCACACAGCGAGCCCCGGAGCCGAGGGAGGGCTTACCTGTTCTTACTTCTATCTGTAGCCCGAGGAGGTGTTTTACGACGGGGGGGGTAAGAGTTGAAATATCCAGTGAAAGGGCGAGCGGGGACGTCGCTGTGAGGAGCAGACTGGAAAGGTGAGATTCCCAGCACCACAGCGCACGAGCCTCTGTGCTCGCTCTGCCCACTTGCAGAACGAGACTGGCCGTTAGGGGCCGTCTGCGTGTTCACGTCCCGCAACGTAACGCACAGACTGACGACCCCCACCATTTTATTAGAAAAATGGTTTTTATGCGACAATGTAAACTTCCTCTTACATTATTACAAATTTTTAAAAAAAAGCGCTTTATTTTATTTGTCTGTTCTGGGCTACTGTAGAAATATTGTGGTTCAACATAGCTGACTTAAAAAGAGGACGCTCTCTGTGTGAGATAAAAATGGCTAATTCTATTATTATTTTCATTTTCAGGCGATTATACACTTAAAAAAAACCTGCCAACAGATTCTCCTAAATGTTACACATTGTACCTTTAAGTACATTTTGGTAATAATGATTTTGATTAAGTAGCATTAGTAGTAGAGATCTGAATAATATTGAAAGAGGCATTCTTGAAATAAAGTTAAAATACTTTAACTGTATCATGAATATGAGAAAACTGCTTTTTAAGAATCAGCCAATAATTAACAGCAATATTTTAGGTCTCAAGACTTCAAACAAACCTTGTACAATTTAATTATTATATGCCACAGCTTGCAATGAACCAAAATGAAGGACAGACAAAAGACACAATTCTTGCTTTAATCTTTGATTACTACCAGGCCTGTGTGGTGGGTATAATGTGAGCCCTAGTGACTGTTTTTCAGTAACCCACAAAAGGTAGTTTAACAGAAAAGGTGGAAATAAAACAGGACGGTCCCTAACTACACATTCATGCTGTCACAGACCAATAAAAGCTTTGTGCTTACTGCCATCTGCTGGCAGTCAGGCGCTACAGACAAGTGTTAAACGGTATAGCACTGCTCAGTAAGGGACATGGTCGCATTGGAATGACTGCTCTGTTGCAAGTCCCCCTGGTGTGCATGCTGTGCATTTTCTGCCTCAGTTGGAAAATAGTGTGGAAATTAGATCCAAAGTTAGTCTTCTGATATTTCTACCGGTATTCAGAACGTAAAAAATATAAGTTTCTACGCAACCACCACAGGAAGAGCTGCTGTGAGGAGATAACAAACAGTGAAAGCAGAAAGTGGAGAAAGAGCTGCATACACAGCATTCAGCCTTCAGGGAAATACACTGTTCATCCTATACAGTCCTTGCATTCAAGGCTTCCCTTTATTTGTTTATTTCTGCCTCTTGGTCATGAAGAAATAGTGATCATGAGAGGTAATTTAGCTGTAAGGGCCATATATGCTGCTAAATGCATGTGGCTTAGCATGAACATGTTTCCAAGTTTCTGTGAGAAAGGTGCATTTAAAAGTCAGAATGACATGCCTAAGAAGTCTTTGCATGCATTTCCATAAACAAATCAGTAACAAAGAAAAAACATTTCTCTTGAAACATTTGCATGACGCGACACAATAACAATTTGATTTGCTGGGAGACGCACAGTCAATATCCACTCTCTTGTACGGGTATACAATATTCATACATCAGTGAGACAGTTTTCAGTGGGAAAAAAAAACACAACCCCCAAGCTGAGTCTCTGAGAAAATAGATTTATTATTCAAATAAGCGACATATACACAGTGGGTTCATGGTTCTAATCATTAGAGAGAATATGAATACACTTGAGCTACAATCATTTACAGAAATATTAAGTTTATATTATTATCACACGGCTCCATGGGGCAGGAGAAGTTCTTTGATGACATCAATAATTCACATTCATAATATATTCAAATATATATAATTTACTGTACAGACACAAAGAGCTTGAAGGCAGAGGAGAGCATGAATCTCACTAAGGCACTCGTGATTAAAATTACATTTACTACCATCGGTTTGTACTAAATAACATGACAATAACACAACAGCTGGGGTAAACTTGGTTTGTTTGGGTGTTTTTCCTTTCATTATAGGCTGATTTATCAAACTGAATGTACAGTTTCAATCTGAAACACGCCGTGAGACTGTGACCATGTCAGACAGGGATTGATAGTATAAGCCATGAACTGTGGCGTGAGACTATAAAAGTATTTCAAAAGAGATTAGCAATCTCCAAAGAAAATCCATCTTCATTACACAGTTCTAGATGAATAAACCCAAAATTGAACTGGTCAGTCATTGCCTCATTAAGAAAAGGAGGACACTATATCTCTAAAGTCTACTAAGCTGACACTGCCCCAATAAAAGACAAATTACTTTGGCTGAAACACATTCTTAACAGTATTTCCCAACAACGCTCTCTTGTCTATTCATTTCGACCCTGCAATATAATGATACGACATAATCCACAGAAGAAAGGGCACAGGTCAAATAATCAATCCTTGCTTTATGCATCCCATTATTCCTGTTACACATGTAAAATAAATTCATGACATGAAATTATTAGAGTTTAATAAGCAGATTAACTGTAGGAAAAGTGGGTAATACTTTCAGTAGAGCGCCGGGGAAAAACGACCTCTATCATTTGCTGACTGGGAATCTGCTGTCAATTTTTTTTTTCCTTTTATCTTTTGACATCTCCAGTTGACCGTTTGTTAAGCTCCACCACCTTAAATGACTGTTGTATAGCAATTTATAACGAGTGGCGAATTCAACCTCTCAAAACGTTCTTCTTTTCAGACATTAATTTCACTTCTAGCCAGTTTCCACCAATTTGGCCTGGGTGAAATGGCGCTTATGACTGACTCATATTACGCTAACATTAGCTCAGTCAGATAAACACTGTTAGACCCATTCTTTACACTCTTTGCTCTTGTGTTATTGGTTTTAATATCAGTCTTACAGCCCCATGTGCACCACTTTAACATGCAGAGAGATCCAAAGCAAAGCCTAGTTACATTTGCTAAGATATGATTTGACAATTGATGTTCAGGAGAGGGGTTTGATGAGCGGTCATTTGCAAACGTCAATAAATAAAAATCGAATAATTTCTTGGAGTAATATCAACATTACAATCACCATAAGCAAACCATTTCCAGCCTCTTCCACTTTTTCATAGTCAGTATTATTACAGAGGCATCAGACTTCAGATGCTTCACCGTCTTTAAAAAAAGGACGAAGAATTCTTATTAAGTATCTTTTCTTTTAGACATCACACCACTGAGCTAGATTTAAACACATTACAGCATAGTGTTAAAAGTGACTCATCCTTTGTACAGAGAGTATTTACTGGTTGTCAGACGGATGATTTAGTAGATTTTCCAAAAATAGTAAAATACTGACTGTGGTTGTGATGCATTCATTTTCCCAACCTCTTAGCTACGTCCTTGTAGGCGAGCTCGATTTCCACATCGGCTGTGCACGTGTTTGTGAACTCATCGCGATTGTAGGCGTTGCCGAGGTAACGCCACACCCCTCTGAATTCGGACGGGATGTCATAGTTTCTGTATTTCTTCGCGACCACCTGTATAAAAACACAAGTTATTGTAATAATTAAGACCAAATTCATACGATCAAACAAACCAAACCAATTCAAAGCTGGTTACCTTGACAACATGGAGTTTGGGCAGAAGGTTGCAGTCGGCCAGCGTCAGTTCATCTCCGTCCAGGTATTTGCGTTTGGATTCTCCCTCGCCGCTATGGCGTCCGGACTGAACATCATCAGGGAGCGGACTCATCAGATACTCATCCAGCTTAGCCAGGGCTTTGTCTAGACTCTTCTCTAATGCTGAAACACCCATAACACACATATCCAGGTCATCAAAGCTAATACCTGATATATCAATATATTAGGTGGTTTTGCATACGACGTGCTTACCTCGATTTTTATCAGGCCTCGTGTTTTTGACGTAAGCCGAGAACCTGGCAAATATGTCATTCCCTGCTATGTTGGATTCACGGTTCTTTGCTGCCAGTCTGGGATACCTTTAAAAAAAAAACAACAACAAGGATGTTGACATGGTTCGGGTTGCTGCTTGCTCACTTTCCTATTCCCGCATGTGTTTCTGGGTGCGAGGCCTACTTTGGTGGAACCAGCGTCTCCTCCAGGTACTCCTCTATTTTGTTGACGTCAGTGAGAACCTCCCCCTGGAAGGTGAGGAACGGCGGGTGTGTCCCCGGGGCCAGGTTGTGGAGGTCGGCCGGTTTCCTAATCAGAGAGGAATCCTTTTACAACTTCTACTATAAAAGTGTAATGCAACACTATTTCACTATCAGTGATAATATTACAGGTTCCAGGAATCAAACACTCCTTTTCTCTGTCTGTTCAGCCATGATGGCTATTGCTGCTATCACTAACTACCTTGGGCCTCTTTTCCCAATAACAATTACTGTTTTAAGTGAAGGGTCTTAAAATGTGTCCCTCTGAGAATGTATTCATTACCTCCATGTATTTTCTCAATGCAGCACTTGGAGCATAATTAAATGAAAGCTGCTCTGAAGCTATCTGTTAGTTATGGGATGCTGTGTCCAGGTCCATGCAATAAACAAATGTAAACACAAACAACAGAAACAACTACATATGCTTACAATTGTCACAAGAGCTGTGCCTTTTGAAGTGACCGTACAGAAGTTGAAGGTACTTTTAGCCTCATAAAGAAACAGGTGTGTGACTGTGTGGGTTTCATTTTACTGCATGCTGGGAGGGATTGTTCTTTAACCCCAATGCTACGATAACAAACATATATGGGCAAGAGTACAACTATGTAATTAAGATGAGGATTAAGCCAAGAAAACCATAATTATTGACAAATGTCCCTGCACATTACATCATTTATTTTTTTTTAAGATCAATGTGCATATTATGCTAGAAAATTAGCATTTAATTCAGCAAGTTCTAGCATGCTATGTTAGCATTAGGCTCATAGTGGAGTCAAGGATCAGGGTGAAATTTGAGACCAATGAGCCCTTTGACAACATAAAGGTACTGTACAACTCATCTATACATTTAGCTTTAAACTGATGATTGTAATATTATATTTAGGATTTAACTGACTTTTTTGGCCATTGGGAATAAAACACTGACATACTTTAAGCTGTTGCCTATTTACACATCCAGCAGACAGAAAGCAACATTAGCATTCATTTGGAGCTGAGTTTCTCAGACCTGATAAATATAAGTCCAACATTCACTCTCCTTTTTGGCTTTTTTTTTTTTTTACTTCTGAGGGAAATATATGGCTCTTTAGCGTCTTAAAGCTCCACTATGCTCACCAGCTAGTTGCTCAATTCTGTAATGAAAACAGTGACCTGCTGCAGCTGGAAACAAGCCTTATGAGAGTGGTGACAGTCAATCAGAAGAGTAAAGTCGTGGGCCAGAAAACCAAAACAATGAGCTGAAAGACGCTAAAACCCTGCTGAGAGGAATGGCAGAGTTGGGTGTTAATTCTCTATGGATCCATAACTGTGAGCTTCACCTTTCACATACATGCGATTCCTTGTTGACATAGAAATATTGATTACAGCAGCTTTAACAAACATTTTATGTACACATTCTTATGTTTTAGCTTCTCTTTAATAGCCAACCAGGGCTGTGGAAAGCTAAAGCCAATATTTCCTCTAGTTTTTCACAGTGTTTTACTGTAATATTATAGAGTGATAATACAACATTATTATTACCTCTTGAGGTCAACAGTGGTGACATTGAAGACTACACCTTTCAGCCAGAGGATCATAAAGAGGCGCTGAGAGAAGGGACAGTTTCCAATGCTCTCCCCATCACTGCCAGCCTGTACACACACACACACACACACACACACACACACACACACAAAACATGGTAAGACACTAATACTGCTACATAAATGGAGTTTAGACAATTCGTGATACAGACATACACTTTCCATATCCTTCATATACTCACAAACACACTGGCAGGGAGACCCATTAACTGCACACATACACTGATTCACACAAAGATACAAAACGCACACACTCCTGACAAACAACTGAACAAGTACTCAATCATTTAATGAAAACACATTACATATGCATGAAGAAGAATCAGTGCCTTTTAGTTTGAAGTAGTGGGTCTGAGGTTGGGTCTGTGTAAACATTTATAATTGGTATATGATCATATACATTAGAATGAATGTGTAAGTGCTTGAGCATGTGTGTGTGTGTGTGTGTGTGTGTGTGTGTGTGTGTGTGTGTGTGTGTGTGTGTTTGTGCACGCAAAGCTGCAATGGGATACTGTAATGAGACACCAATTCCAACATGAATAATCCACACTGCTTCCATTAGCCGCCTCACTGCCTGTTTGGACTTTTGGTTCCTCTCATACTGTAGCAGTGTATCAGCTATAGAAATCATACAACCTACTGTCCGGTCATAATACTTGTCTGTCGATCCAAAGAAACACACACTTTTACTGAACCCAATACACATGTGTGAGCTACACTTATTTTATAAAATTCCTGGGCAAACAAGTCCAGTCATCTTACCCCATTTGTCAGATTTGCTGTGTTTTATACTGACAGTTTGTCTCTTCTGCAGCAAAATGGTCCCAGAAGCATTTTCCCCATAGTTCTCATTTTCTTGGGTTTCCTATTTGTAAAACTTGCCCAGAGTCCAGAAAAGTGATTATTTTGACGTCATCCCAATGTAAAATCTATGCGCCCAGTGGGGAAAAATGTATGTACACGTGCAGTGTGGCTACAAAACCTTCTTTGGATTTTGCTCTATTGCACGGTTTTCACTTAAATTAATAGGCACCACCATAGAGTCCAGTATCCAGTTCCTAAATTACATCCAGTGTCTATTTTCCCACTTTCCAACGGATCAGGCAACCAGGATATAACTTGTTAATTAGCTTTAGAGGGGATGGCAGGCAGATTTCATGAGCTTCAGTAGCTGCTTCCCCCTGTTTCCAATCTTTATGCTGAGCTGAGCTAACAAGCTGCTGGCTATAACTTCGTATTTAGCATACAGATGTGAGTGTGGTATCAATTTTCTCTAACTCTTTGCAAGGAAGCAAATGTCCATATTTGTCTAACTATTCCTAGGGATGGGAATCGGGAATCAGTTCCAGTTGAGAACCGGTTTTAAGTTGTCCGATCCATCAGAGTCGTACGCCACCAAGTCTACCAATTCCTTTCATCAATGCCAGCATGTTTTTCTGCCAGTCGCACATTGCAACACAGTGACATCAAACTCATGTGTCTACCCTGCTGGAAACTTGCAACAAGAAGGAGTCATGGAGGAGAGGAAGAAACAGTCCAAAGCATGACTTCATTTCACAGGGACACTCAAACTACTATAACTCTACACTGTGTTCAGACTCAGAGATGATAAAACAACTGTGTTGATGCTGAAAGCCTGTGTAATGTTTTCCAAACAGAAAATTAGATGATAGTTAAATTACTATAAGAGAGCAATGTGTCTTAACTGTGTTGGTCAGCTAACAAAAGGACATGCTAAAACCTGTCCATAAGTGCACACAGGCATAACTAACACACATATATTGTATCATAACCTTAGACCATTTGAAGCGGCTGTTCTCAATACTGAAAGGACCCCAGTAATAATTTATTGGGAGAGAGAAAGAGAGAGATTGTCTATACACGTGGGTGTCAGGTTAACACACGGAAAATCAGCACACAACAACAACAACAACATGGCCTGCACACGCTTAAAGGAGCTATCCCCAAACATACACACACACTCTTAATGTTTGACAGATTCTAAAGAGTGTGTGTGTGTGTATGCAGGTTACATTTTACGTGTCCTGCACAAAAATAGCAACGATTACAGGCCGAATGCAGGTTGATATAGTGAAGTTTTGTACAGGAATGTAATTTAGAAGTGAGAATTAAACTGATCTAGTGTCAGCTTGTGATGTACACAAACTGTACAAACACTAAAACCCACACACACACACACACACACACACACACACAAAACTCCCCACCTTGACAAATAGCTCAATATCAGGGTCCTTGTCCTCCTCGGCTGCAGTATCCGTCATGGTCAAGAAAAACACGCTTTGCTTGTGTGTTTTGTTTCCACAAGTGTGTAGATGCGTCTCTCTCCCTCTCTCTCTCTCTCTCTCTCTCTCTCTCTCTCTCGGTATGTATGCGTGTGTGTGTGTGTGTGTGTGTGTGTGTGTGTGTGTGTGTGTGTGTGAGCAGCAGATTTTACTCCAGGTCCATGTGGTAAAGTCCGCTTGGTCCCATAGCAGCTGTGTTAGAGTGTCAGCTGAGGACGAACGCTAACCAGAGTGTGTGTGTGTGTGTGAGAGAGAAAGAGAGAGAGAGTGTGTATGTGTGAGAGGTTCAATTTGTACCCGAGGCCTCAGCAGTGGGGCGTGACAGTGCCGGGCAAAAATAACCCCCTCGGGTGGGTTGGGGAGAGGGGGGGTGTCACTGAAAGCATTAATGCAGTGAGGAGGGAAAGGGCAGACAAGGGTGCCCTGCCCCTCCCACCTCTTACAGCTCTGATTGACAACACAACCGGGTGACTTTGAATCATCCAGAGTCATCGTCTCCTTCTCAGACTCATCAGCACCCATGGGTCCCATGTTGTGAATTCTCAGCGTGCGTCGAGCTGCTTCGCCCAACTGGCCTAAACAAGTGCTGTGTGTGTGTATCCAAAGCCTGATATATCTTATTCCTGCTATTAAAAACACATCAATGAGCCACACTGTTGCACTGGGTGACATATACTTCATTACGAGGAACATGGGCACTGTAGTTTATTTTGAGTTGATCCCACATTCACTGTACGGCTGCTATAAGTACCCCCTACAACACAAAATATTTATGAATCCTCTGCTGAAAATAGTCCCCAACAAATGCACTATTTCCTCCTGTTTGGGTTTCATTTGCTAATAAACTACAGTGACCAGCTGTTTTAGAAAATTACTGAGCATTTTTATTAAAATAGAAGAAGAAACTAGGTATTTTGTGACCTTTTTTGTAAAGATTTACATGATTTAAGCTCAAACTTGGCCTGCCTTATTGAAATATTTTCAGTAAATCTAAGATTTCACCAATATTTATATACCACTATACTAAATATATATGTTGAAATTATCCTGGTGTACTTGCAAGTCAAATGTCAAATATCTGCCTACTTCTTATACTGGATATTGGTATCATTTGAAAAAGGAATTGTTGGAGGAAACTATACATATATACAGTACCACCTTCTAATATAGCTAAATATAGGCTTTATAAGCCCTGATTGATGGCTTTACTTAGGATTGATAAATAATTTACTAACACTTTATTGATCAGTTATCAGATTGATAAGAATAACCTTTGGGTTGCCAGTTTGTGGAAAATCCTCAGATAGCACGTGTCTTTACGCTAGACTCGTCAAATCAAAAAATGTCTCTCAATTTCTAATAGACCACAAGTAAAACCTCATTAATATAATATAAATCATTAATGAAATATTGTGAGAGCAATCTACCAAGTTTGTAGTTGTAAATGTTAATAAGTTGTTTATAAATGGATTCTGTTCAAGATGCCCAGCTGACATTTTCCATAAGATAAGAGTTCATTGGAAGGAATTAAAATTAGATAAAGCGAGTGTCACAACCTGGCAACGCAAAAGTTATAATGATTATACCCAATCTATACAGTATTAGTAAATGATTTCTTAACTATCAATCAAGACATGAATTAATTCAAATTAATTAAAATCATAGCCCCTAGCTACTTTCAGCTCCTGTTCATTTGATGATTAATTAGCTAGATTTGTCTTAATACTGTAGCTACTAATTAAAGCTAACCTCCATTGCTAACACAACGCTAACACTTCAAGAAGACATTTGAAAAAGTCAGCGTGGAAATAGTTTGTATCTACTGGGCTTGGTGCCGCCAGCGGTAGACCTCAGACACTCTTATCACTCTTATTCTACTGCAATGTTCTCAGGATTATATTGCTATGATTTACACTGTCGTGGTGTCAAAGTGACAGATTTATGATCCCCCGTATACTTCAGAGAAACTGGACTTCAGTGTGGAATGTGCTGATTGTGTAATAAGTTCAATGTGTGTGTGTTTTTGCCTCTGGAGGTACAATGTGTAGCTTTTATTACTCAATGCGACACGAACCGTCCCCAACGGTCCGAGCACTGAGTCTGAGAACATTCCTGTCAGTTCAACTGAACTTATATTTAGAACCACAGTAACACACACACACACACACACACACACACACACACACACACACATGCTTGCACACACACCCAGAAATGACTACACACGATGAGGTATAAATAGGAGTGTGTATGTGAACAGCTCAGTGAGGTGTGTGTGGAGGGTCCAAACAATAGGACATTAAGTCCAACCCTACATGTACCACATGCACACACACACACACACACACACATTTGGAGATACTCACTGACCTTTCACACTTATACACAACTGATATGAGTGTGATTATGAGTGAGATTTATGAGGCCTATGAGTTAAGCGTGCAAACTGCATGTCATTCTGTGTGTGTGTGTGTGTGTGTGTGTGCAATATAAGCACATACACACACACACACACACACACACACACACACACACACACACACAAACAGATTGAACTGAAATCGATCTCCAAAATGCAACCTGCTTCTTCCCTACCTTCACGTAAAGTGTGACACCATCCTCTGGATTCTCCCCAGCTTTCTCCTGCTCAGGGGCTGATGAAGATGATGATGAGGAAGATGAGGATCTGCGTGATGACATCCCCCTGTCCAGCTCCGGCTCAGGAGACCCCATGTCCCAATGCACCGTGTTGTTTAACTGCCCCTCTATCTTTTCCTCAACCTCTTCCTCTATCTCTTCCTCAACCTCTTCCTCTCTCTCCTCCTCCTTATTCCAGTCCTCCACCTCAGCTTTCTCCTCATCTTCAGCATGCGAGGAAGACGAGGAGGATGAGGAAGAGGAGGAACTGCTTCGCCTCTCCTCTGAGGTGGGAGGGCGAGGTGGAGGGAGAGCAGGGGGAGCCGGTATTTGTGCGGCGGCCCGTCCAGTGTTCTCGTACTCTGGTATCAGCTCCGAGGGCTCTGCGTACGGCGTCTCGTAGGTCGTGTCGTAGACCCCTGACGACGTGTTCTGGTAGGTGTTGAACTCTGGGTTCTCGTAAACGTTCTCCTCACAGGGGTCCATTGCGGGTGGAGAGGTCACACAGAGGTCGTGCTGAGATGGTGGAGCGTGTCAAGGTGGAGAGCAGAGTGACTGCGATGCCAGCGATGCCTACCTTATCAGAAAGCATTTCAGGACTTTGGACAGGGAAGGCAGATGCCAAGGAAAGACAGCGGTGATCCTTAAAGGAGAATACAACTTGAATATAGACATTGTTGCTATTGTTGGGTGGTAAGAAAGTAGCTCTAGAGAGTTAATTATTTAGTGGCTTGAGTACAAAGTTCATCTTTTAAGGATTAACCCATAAAAATACCGAAACCTACACATTACCGCTTAAACTTTTTATAAATATTAGGCAGATCATTTCAGAGAATTTTTAATGGATTTGGGGCCAAAAAAATGACCCATCAGCCTACATTTATACAGCAAGCACTCAATTCTGATTTATTGCAAAGAAATGAGATTTGGCTGACTTTTGTCTGCAGTCTGAACAAGGCCTTAGTGTCTGTATTATCAACCTTGAGAGTGAGAGAGACACAAGAAGGCAGTGTGAAGTTAGTTTCCTGCAATGCTTGATTCTACATTTCCTGAAAATACAACTTAACTGTGTCTGTCATTAGACCATCCCTGCCTAGTAAATGCCGTTATCTTTCAAAGTCAGTGGCCCCAGTTTGTAACACACGTTCTCTGTCAAAAATCTCTCCTGAAAACATACTTTAGATGCCTTTGGGGTGGCCTATTTTTATGCGATTTGGAGCGTAATATGACCATGTATTGAATCAGCATAAGGTCATTCTGTGTTCAAGACAATTTCTGTCCCAAAAGTGAACAACACAGGTAAAATATCACACAGGTACTGGCTAGGGTTGGGCATTTCCATGCAAAATATCGTAGCAGAATTGCCATGCAGGAGTCAGACCTATTATTCCATATCTTACCTGTCAGCAGTGAAGCTGTGCTGGAGAAGAGATGTTTTTAAAGTATTGTAGACTACAATTGTGGGTTTGTATGTAAAATTGCATGTGGACAATGTGCCTGGCTGGCAAATTGCAAAACAATGCTGCAATGTAATGCTAAGAGGTGTTGTGTTGGAGTTGGTCATGCACTTCTCATCCAGACTAATTTACTACATTATTATCTCACATAGGTATTTTTTTAAGTGTTGCTACAACATAGAGGTACACTATTAGGCATTTCTAATTATAAGTGAACTACTAAAACAATTAAAGAGTTCCTACTTTTTAAATAAAGGTACAACAGCTGTTATAATTTTGGTATCGCATCACACATACAATAAGAAAACCTCTCACCTTTGTCCCGCCCCCCGCCACCGATGCTGAACGCTGATTCGCTGTTCCAACTGCCAGTTTATGTAAAACGCCAGTTGACGGTTACGTCAAGGTAGCCACAACAACAGCAGTGGCGCGCTGTTGTACGTCAAAATAAAAGCACGATGTTTTAAAACCTAATATATGAAACCATTTCTACATGTTGGTGTTTTTCCTTTAATCATAAATTACCATTTAAGTTGATATTCATATATAACACGAAACAACAGGTGACAAAAATACCATTATTTTCTATTACGTTATTTGGCATTTCAAAGGAGGATTTATTTTGAAATACGTGGCCGGATGTTTATGAAACTAAACCTAGCTAGCTCGACAACTACCAAGCGTTTGTGTATTTTGAAGAAGACCATTGATGATGTTGCTGCGAAAATAGACCGAAGGGAAAAGTTATTCCACAGTACTGTCTGGAGGACACCGTCCTGTCACCTCTCTAACAGGTAACGTTATTAAACACACTATTAACATTACGTGACCGCTGTAACAATAGCCAGCTAACGTATGCTAGGCAACCAGCTAACCCCTTCCTCTGCTGATAGTGATAATGAAATATATTTTTATTGCTCAATATATGTCACTCACTCTCCGTTTGACTACTGCGTGCTCTTTAGTGTTTATTAATGTAATTATAAGTAATATTTATTTGGTATTTTTGCGTTAAGAACGGCCACTTCCTGGTTGAGGGTATTTATTTGACAGATAGTTTTTAGGTGGTTGTCAGTGGCGTCACTGCTTCATTTGCTCAAATACGCGTGTTTGTGTTAAATATTGTGTCTGAATGACACACAGACAGTGGTAAAGTTAGTACAAGAGGACAAATATACAAAGACGTGTGTTAAAATTGTGATGTGGGTGAAATAGAAGCTGAGTTGTGTTTATTATGTTTGCCTCCAACATGTGGCCAGCTTGTGGGTTTTCAAACAATATGAGTGTTTCAGAAGACTGGTGGGTGTGTACAGATTTAGAAATCAATATTAGTGTTTTTATGTGTCATATTCAATTTATTTCTTCCTCAGTTTGCACCACTTCATCTGGAGCATTCACACGTTTTATTTTACTTTTATATCTGTGAGGCAGAAGTGACAGACTGAAGTCTTTTATTGGCTAATTAATTGAATCAAATGGAGAGAATGAGGGTGATAGAGGCTCAATGCCTTTCAGTCTCCCGGTTGTATCCAAGCTGTGTTTGTAGTCAATCTAATTTATTTAGATTTGCTTCAATTTCATGCAGTCTATGGGATCAGGGCTTGTGATCCTAACTCCCTCAATTCAGAAAGTAAATAAGAAAATTATAGTTGATAGAAGTGAGTGGAATTGGAGGAGAGTGTTAGGGGGGAGATTACATTACAGGCCAAATTGTGGGCGTCTGTGTGTAAGGTATTTGCATTCCTGCAGTCATGATCTGATCTGACAGTTAACTGTGTCAAACCAAGCTTGAATTGTGCGGGTGTCCTAGCATATCAAATAAAATAAATAAATGCCTCAAGTGGACCCAACTTTGACATTAGATGTAGTTAGAAGTTTTTCCACCTCATCTCAGGTTATGAACCGTAAGAACGGTGATTATGTTACTACATGGAAGTTGTTTTTTATTCTTCCCTGCTTAAGTGTCCTTAAGGAAATTTTACTTATTCATTTCTATCCGTTTTTAGCTGCTGTTTGTAGCTGAGCTCTCACCTCAGAGGATGTGTGTAGGAGTAAAAAGGTTCTGTTTTTAGTCCTCCATAACCTTGTTTTTGTAACGTTCATCTCAACAGGATATTCATGTGGAACATATAATGTGAAAAAAGGGTCAAATAACTGCCTCAGAGAGAGTGAATCAATTTATTTGACAGCTTAAAAGCTGCGTATTATGTCGATTGTACATATGATGTAAAAAAGATAAAAAAGGCTGTTTTCAAACGTTGTATCAGAAACAGAAATACTTTATTGATGCCTGGAGAGAAATTGGTAGTGTTATATGTTGTGTTATGTGTTGTATTATATGTTGTATTAAGAGCGGCAGAGGAAGTTTACACACCTGTGTTAAAACCACAGAAACTCACTAATCTTCACACAGCGCTGTTAAAAAGGAAAATACCAACCCTTCACACACATAATCCTCCTCAGCACACAGTTCCTCCTCTACTTCAGACAGACTGTATTATCAGTTGACCCACAGCAAGTAAATTGACCTAAAACCCTCTACAACAGGCAGTAAAGGAAGTTGACATGACGCGCACTAACAATCAGCAAGTGAACGTATTGCTCATACATCTGTAGTAGTAGATTGGTTGTAGTTTTCATGTTGCCTGCTGGTTTAGCATCAATTAACCACGATAAGTTTCACTTCCTGCAAAGCAAAAGTGAACGACCCAAGAATATTTTTGGCATTAAAGGTTCAGTGTGTGACATATAGGAGGATCTTTTGGCAGAAATAGAGTATACTATTCACCGGTATGTTTTCATTGAGGTGTAATCCCCTGAAAATAAGTTTCTCCTGCATGCTTGAAACAGGAGAGTGAGGCGAGGGCAATGCAATCAGCAACTACACCGCTAGATGCCACTAAATCCTACACACTGGACTTTCCCTCTATGTGCTTGGGCATGTGGGAAATGTATGTTGCTGTCCAGTCAGGCATTCGCTCTCAGTTCCTTTTTATTTTTTTAGCTTTCCCTCTGAAAGCCTGACTAGTGGTTTGGCCTCTTGCCAAGTGGTTTTCAGCCAACATGCAGAACTGTGACAGTTTAAAGATTTGGGATGGCCCTTTCCGGGTGCAGCTGATTCAGTAACAGATCTTTATAGCAGTGCTCGTCTGCAGGTTGCTCGGCCGCTCCAACACTTTGGTACAGAATGAAATATCTCAACAACTAATGGATTCAAATTTAGTGCAGACATTTGTGTTCTCCACAGGATGAATTGGAATGACTTTGGTGATCCTTAACCTGTTCATCTAGCGGTTATAACTTAATACCCGTAAAACCTAGACTGGCTTTATCACTCTGCGTGTTGACATTAGCATTTAGTTCTGCTCAGCATTACAGGGCATGACTGTAGACTGTTTAAAACGCAATTAGCTAGTCATCTGTGATTGCAGTGAACATTTCTCTTTCATATCTTCTCAGGATGTTACTGAAAATACTCCTTGGCTTCCTGTGTGGCGTCGGAGCTTCGGCCGCAGAAAACGACACGGCTCAGCAAGGTCCTCCGCCGCTGCTGCTGGTGTCGTTCGACGGTTTCCGAGCGGACTACCTGCAGAGGTTCCCCATGCCTAACCTGAAGCTCCTGTACAGCCAAGGGGTCCTGGTGGAGCAGCTCACCAACGTCTTCATCACCAAGACCTTTCCCAACCACTACAGCCTGGTGAGCCTGCTGCTTGTGCTTTTAGCTTCATTAATGAATTTTAACAATCATAACAATAATATTTATGATTTTTCCTCTTCAGGTGACTGGGCTGTACGCTGAGTCTCACGGTATCCTGGCCAGTAATATGTACGACCCTGTCAGCCACAAGCACTTCCACATCGGCAACGACACCGACCCGATGTGGTGGAATGAGGCCCAGCCCATCTGGGTCACAGCTCTGGACTCCGGCTACAAGACGGCGGCCATGATGTGGCCCGGCTCCGAAGTGACCTTCCGAAACCGCACAGCTACACACTTCCTTCCCTACAACTCCCGTGTGACCTTCCAGGAACGACTGGGGAACGTGACAAATTGGATGCTGGGAGACGGAAAGGTAGAAAAAGTTACTTTAGTAAGCTGACTCTTGTAAGTCTTAAATTGTCATATCTCACTTTTTCTGTCTTTCAAGGTTTTTTATTTTGCTCTATCTCTGTTCTAAAACCATGTTAATGCCATAAAGTTAACAGGGTAGTAAAATTTAAAAAAATCTTGAAGGGTGAGTTGCCATTGTCTGAAGTTCTGTATCATACACCCCATTCCCCCAGGAGCAAGGAGCGATGTTTGCAGCTCTCTACTGGGAGGAGCCAGACCGCTCAGGTCACATGTTTGGCCCTGACAACACCACTGCCATGAGCAAAGCACTGAAGGAGGTACAGTTATTTTCTTCAGCTTAAAATGTCAGAAAAGCTAACTGACACATTTTGCTCGAAAGAAAAACTCTTGAAATTTATATTTGAAGGGGGGATGTTAGGATCCGATCTCAAAGTATCAGTATCAGTCGATCAAGGCATTTTTTTTATCGTCTACATTGAGTTTTATTGTTGTTTGTTTTGCCTCAGTTATCACAATGCAATGAGCAATAAGAGTCATTTATTAATGTAACCCGCGCAAAAGATGTACAGATAACAAAAATAAATATTCAACAGTTCATTCAGTCCCAGGCTGGACCAAAGCAACACTGGAGGAGAAATTCCCTTGAGACAGTGACGAGCCTGAAAAGATTACACAGAGGGTTTATTATTTCATTGCCTACTTTATTGTTTTGTAGAAAATAAAAATCATTAAGGAACAGCTTAGACACAGGCATTTTCTCCTTAATCTAATGCAGAGCTATTCTAATATCAAGCAATGCTCTTGAAGTGTGAACCTGTATTATTGGAAAATAGAAGTATTGGATGAGGACTATATATTAAATGACTCAAATTGGGAGCGGGGGCGAAAAAACTTCCCTAGTGGGAAGTATTTCTTTCCATTAGTCTAACCAGAGGTTAGGTTACCACCAGTGAGTGAAATCTATTGTGAAGCATCATGATTGTTTCTATGGCCGTTTCCTGGAGTTAAATAAAGCCTGTGCAATGATTTACGACAGTGGTTTAACTGTTGACTAGAAACAGGTCTGAGCTGTAATGTTGCAAAATGTCTTAGTTGTGATGTGTTGGATGTTGACCTCTATCAATGCTTCCCTCCCCGTCTCCTTATTTTATGTGAATTAGAAAAGCTGGATGGAAGCAGCTGGTTTTGGTCACATTTCTCTCTTGGCAAATCTATGATAAAAATACAATAAATATGTAAATTCATTGTAAAAATACCCTAAAATTGGCATGATCCAATGGCTCAGCACACTTGAGGGTTAATTAAATTTGTACAGAACTCCTTTCAACCCAGATTTGCTTGATGGAAGGAGTTATTGATGGCTGTCTCTTTGCATGCGATCAGGTTGACGACAACGTCGGCCTGCTGATTTCCGAGCTGAAGCGGACCGGCCTCTGGGGTCGCATCAACATCCTGGTGACCAGTGACCACGGCATGGCTCAGTGCTCGGCCGATCGCCTCATACGGCTGGACGACTGCCTCCACCCCAACAACTACACACTGGTGGACCTCACACCTGTCGCCGCCCTCATCCCAAAAAATGGTAACCAAATTCTCTTCAGCTATCACGAGAGCCTGAATACAAACCACACAAAAACATGTGACAGGCTTCTTTTTTATTTATCTAATCATACTTTTGTGTGCTCACACTATTTCTGTGCATGTGCTTTGCAGACCCAGAGGCTGTGTTTGCTCTGCTGAAACAGTGCAACACCCACATGACAGCCTATCTGAAAAAGGCCATCCCTGATAGGCTGCACTACAGGAACAACGAACGCATCCAGCAGATAATACTGATTGCTGATGAGGGTTGGACCATAGTGCAGCGGGGGAACAAACTGCCAAGATGTATGTCTCTTAATTGTTTTCTCAGTACTGTGATTAACATCTGGCCAGCTGCGAGCTCATCTGTTATCTTTTGTTTGTTAGTCTTTTGTTTTACCCATTTATATTTTCTAATAATACTGAAGTTCATTATTATTCTTTTATGTTTATTATGTCCATTTAGTTTCACAACAACTCATCCAATATATAGTAATAGGCTACTTTTACATTCTTTTAAAAAATATTTTGGGTTTTAAAGGAGAGATATTTTGGGGACATTTTAGAAAAAATAATTAAGATGATCGTGGAGATGATTCACAATGCATTTTTCTAGATGTTTAATTAAATAGTTTAGTTTCACTCTATCTCTTTGTGGTAAACTAGTCTTATTGGACCTGTTTCTGCAATGTAATGAATGGTATCACTATCAAATTGAGGCACTAAAATGGACATTAAAAGTCTTACAGAACTACATAGACATTCACATTTATAAGCAAATACTAACAGTACGTCCACTCACCAGTTCTCACTCGACTTCCCTCCCTCAGTGGGCGATCATGGCTACGACAACTCCTTATCCAGCATGCACCCCTTCCTGGCAGCGACGGGTCCCAGCTTCCGTAAGAATTATCAAATCAGCAGTTTGCAGAGCGTGGACATTTACCCGCTCATGTGCCACCTGTTGTCGGTGCCCCCGCAGCCAAACAACGGCACCCTGAACCAGGCTCGATGCCTGCTGACTGCTGAGACCTGTTGGAATGTCCCTCTGATGATCAGCCTGGTGGTGGGCGTTCTACTGGTACTCACTACAATCACAGGTAAGTCGGAATGATTGCAACATATGCTCCAGGGGTAGCATGTAGATAGAGAAAAAGGGAACCCAGGATAGACCCCTGGGGGACTCCACAAAAGAGAAGAGTGAGTGGATGAGGCATCTTCGCTCTGTACTGTACCGTACGTCTCCAACAGATCAGCGAACTAACTGGGCTTGTTTCTTCAGTTCTGTTCAGATTGCTTAGCCACCGCCGCCCGTCAGGACCCCGGCCCTTCCAGAGGCTGCAGGTCGACGACGACGATGACGACGACCCCCTGTTGGAGTAAACCAGTCCGAGCTGGTCACCACACACTAGTCTGTATCACCTGTTCGTGCTCCAATAGGTACTTTGACGTGTTGCACTTTACTCACTGAGGCCAGTTTTGGTGTGTGTGTGTGTGTGTGTGTGTGTGTGTCTGTCTGTGTCTGTCTGTGTCTGTTGTGTTTCTGTTCTGTTGTGTGTGTGTGTGTGTGTGTGTGTGTGTGTGTGTGTTGTGTGTGTGTGTGTGTTGTGTGTGTGTGTGTGTGTGTGTGTGTGTGTGCATACATGCAGTAGAAAGAAGCCGTCAGGGCTGCCGACAACCTGCTGTGGAGTTTGTACACTGGTGTAAAAACAGCTGCAGGACATAGTGATTACTAAAGCTGTCGCTGAATCCATAATGTTAATGTTGTAGAAATCCTGTTACAGTAGACTTGAAAATGTGACAAGAAGCCAGTGGTGTTTTAGTTGTGAACTTATTTTGAGGAAATATTGATGATAACATCGAGATTAATGATTTTATTCTGGGAGTTAAAAAAAAAACCTACTGATGTAAGAGATTAATATTTTTCTGGGCGAATCGTCTTTATAAAACCTGATTTTGTGTGTAATTTTATATTTGTAGGATTACTTTTTGTCAGCAGAGGGAGCCAGTAGCACATTTAAGACTCATATTGTATTTCACTGAGATTCTGTGTTTCATGAAGAGGAAAGCTTGAAACATTTCTGTTACTGTTCTGGTGTATTTGTTACACTGATATTTGAGTCATTTCACTTTAATTCATATTTTATCCATATTTGCAGGCTTAAAGAATGAAATTTAAAATCTGAGATGATATATTTTTACTATTAGTAACTAAAATGCTACAGTAAAGGGAAATGTTGCTTTGAAAAGGATGATTTCTATGCACTGTACTTACATTACACACATATATATATATACATTTATATAAATTATACCAAAGACTATTATTTCGATGTGCAACAGATGCTCCAAAGAGATATTCACCATCTAAAAATGATCTTTGTTTTTAAACTAAAGCAATATAATTGTTATTATTGACACACTGGATCACCTACAATCTAAAAATAGTACAAGATCAAACTGAGGTACTGAGTTGAAACTTATCTTATTATCATATTTATCTGATGCTGTCTAATGCCTCTTATCTTACTGTTAACAAATCCCATGAAAAGACCCAAGCCAACAACAAAGATATTATACTATTGTGTGTGTACCTAAAGCCTGATATATGTTGTTCCTCTGTGTCAGAGAGCTTTATTGTTAAACTACTTAAAACACATAAATGATCCATACTGTTGTTACTTCATTATAATGACCACGAGCACTGTAGTTTATTTTGACTCCATCCACCGTCCTGCTGCTGTTAATACTCAGTAGAGTGCACTATTTTTTCATGTTTAAATTTACTAAAAACTACAGTGCTCAGCAGTTTTTAATATTTACATCTCCAGTGGGAACCAGTGGGTTTTGGGGGCCACCAACAGGGTCCAGGATGTCGTAAAGTATTGAAACATAGTTAATTTTGGTCTTTTCATGGGATTTTTTTGACAATAACAAAACTAAAGTGTACTGCCAGCCTCATTCTTTAATGCAGTGCTGCTGGCGGCTCCTCCAACCATGTGTCCAGTGATGTGTACTGTTCATGCATCTATTCATGTGTGTGTGTGTCTCTTGCTGCTGATTGAGGAAAAATTCCACATATAAATTACTGCCATGTTCTGATCTTCAGCATGTAGCTTTAAAAATAAAAAAAATAAATCAATCAGTATGTAAAATAGCTTGTGATGCCTTGATATAATCACCATTAACAAATGAGACTCAACATGACCAACTCACTCCATTTTTATTCTTCTTTCTGGTACTTGTCTAAATTTAGAGCATACGCCCCATAAACACAGTTGCTTCAGGTCACAGCGAGCATATTTGCTTTAATGCATATATGTTTTACCCTTATTTCAGAGGAAGAACATTATAGTGTTTTTCCATCTGCATCCACTTCCTATTCTGTAATATACTGTAAAATATGACATTTTTGTGCCATAAAGCAATCGCAGTATAAAATTCAGGCCAGTGGTTTGGTGTGAAATGCTGTATAGAAGCTACCAGTCCCAAGAAAATTGTCTAATTTTTATGGATTATCATATTTATGTGTGTTTTTGTGAGGTTCAAATGCTTCACATAAGCTTTGTCTTTGCACTCTATTTCTGTTTTATCTTTAAAGGTACTGACTTTTGCGTTTTTTTTTTTAAGTGTAAAAAATCCTTTTGGAACTATGCAAATCCTGACTGGCCTGTCGAGAGATTCCTGTGGTTTAATGTCATTTTCAAAATGAATAAAGAGGATAGAAAATCTGATGTTTTGTGTTGTGATTCAAAGGAATTTAAAAACCACTCACATGAAGTGTCAGTAAATGGAAAGGAAAAGCGACACACATTTGGAAAAATTAATTTATATTCCTTTATATTTTTTTTTTCTCCATCGCAGTCACAACATTACAATGTAATAAAATGGTAAATATATAAAATCAAACTCAATACTGACGCATATACATTTCTGTATCGTGTTCAAAACCAAATGAACTTTACATGTTTTCATTTATATCTGTTTTACATCATTTAAAATCTGTCATAATTTCTATGTAGTCATCTGTATTATTGTAAATCTTTGTCTCTTCACAGATAAATAGACTTTATTTTCAGGAGGTATTGTAACAAAAATAACACATTTCCTAACGCTGGCCACCTGGAGCCATTGAAAATATCATTCAACTCTTCCCCAGAATGCTTTTACACTATCGTAGACACAGAATACACAGACAAAGAAGAGATACACAATGTGTCGTCTCGTTTTCTCTCCCGTTTTGTTTGTGGTTGGTCAGAAACATTCGGTGTGAATTTAGGAATCCCCCCGCAAAGACCAGAGGATTCCTGAATGGTGTTTTTATGAGCTGACGCAGGAGCGGTTTGAACACGGTTGATGACAGCAGCCATCATTTCTACAGTGAAGTTCGGGAGACGTTAGCCAGACAGCCCCTGCTGGACATTTTCCCCCCTTACGTCTGAAATATGTGCTTATGTGTTGAGCTGTTTATTGGTATGTAGCTGCACACTGCAAATAGGACCATCTCCTCAAGCTATTTAATCACGTCAAGAGTAAAAAAGAAATATGACTTTTAAATTTCTTGAACTTTTACTTATTTTCCTGCAAGAGTCGGTGACAAGAAATTATATTTTCTCACTTATCTAGTGATATAAAGCAATGTAGGACATCTGTGGTGGTCACCGCATAAAAAAAACATTTTAAAATTAAATCTAAAGCTACTGGAAACAGGGTGAAACAGCTAGCCTGTATCTTAAGTTTTTGTACAGATTTATACAATAAACAAGGTGTAACGTGTTAATTAGTGAGCTTTAGAGAGGCTGGTGAGCGGTTTTTGTTTTAGCTTTGGACGGAGCCTGGCTAGGCCCCCTTTTATGCAAAGCTAAGCTAATGTTTTTTTGGAATTTGGGTAAACTGCTAAATAAAACGTTTTGTCTGACTTTTTCGTTTTTTTTTTAAAGTTCAGCATTATTGGAAATACACTGATTAACTTCATTGCGGAGGGTTAGACGAGAAGATGGACACCACTCTCATGTCTGTAGGCTAAATATGAAGCTAGAGCCAGGAGACAGCTAGCTTAGCTTAGCATAATTAAAGATGACAAGCACCTCTAAATGTCTCAAATTGAGCACTACTTCTTTCTTTCCATGGTGGAATTTTTGCAAACACTATATGTACTATACTATACTATACTATACTATACTGTACATACATAAGCATTGATCGTGCTATTTCCCCCTGCTTCCACTGCTAAGCTAACCAGCTGTTGGCTCCAGCTTCATATTCAGTGTACAAATATGAGAGTATCTCATCCCATTAGCAATATTAACTCAATTTACATACTCCAATACTTTAAAAAAAAAAATCAATAATCACGGTTTGCAGTGGTGGTCTTTCTTTGCAGAACGTTTTTTGTGTTTATCAGGAATGTGAGAGACAAACATCACCTGTCTCGTCGAACCTGGTTTTGGTTGTGGCTGTCTGGCAAATCACCTCCAAACACTTCATCCTGCCTAAAGATCTAATATCAGTGTGCTTATACTCAAGACAACACGATGGCACAGACTCCTACGAAAAACACAGTTTCCAGTTAAGCCGTATTTGTCTTCTCTCGTCTTACATTCTGGATATTTATAAAGAACATTTACTATCAGTACATTTGAAAGAGCCATCTAAGCAAACTCATCGAAACATAGACCCAACTGAGGAGGATTACCAGAAAAAGGTATTTACAATCAAAAGGCCAACCACGAGAAAATAAAAGGTACTTTTTGCACATAGAAATCTCTAGAGCTACTTTTTTTTTTTTCCAAGCTGAAGAACACAGTAGAAAAGCATGACCCCGACAAAATAAAAGCTCATGGTACATCTTATAGATACATCCACATTAAGGTTTAGTTTGACCCTGCCCTGTGCTTATAGTATCCACACCTGAGTCAGACCATTGAAATCCTTCCGACTCGTTTTTTTTTTTTTCATGATTGAATTTGAGCCATTTGTGCCAAAACAGCCAAACCTCTTTTCAGTTGTAAAAGGAGAGGATTTCAGTTGTCGGTGGACTCAGATCTGGTAGAAACTGGTCTGAGATCAGAAACAGTTTAGCGTCTGGCCTCGATTTCTACAAAACCATGATGAGTAATGATAATTTCACAGCTCTGGACCAAGCAAGTAAAACTTTGGCTAAAAAAAGCATATGAAGCATTACTGACACATACGGTAGTTTGCACTCGCACATACACACATGCTCACACACATGCTCACACACATGCTCACACACACACACACACACACACACACACACGCAGCCTAACCACAGGCCTCATATGCTTTGCAGACCCTGATAGTGGAACGTTTTTATCCAAAGAACACAAAATAACTTCTTGCTTGTACACATTCCTCTGTCGGGAGGTTGCGTCCGTTGTGGTTGCTCTCAATGTAAACGTACATTACGCAGTTTTTTTCCTCTCCCCTCCCGACCAATTTTAACCCATCAACACACAAACCTGATCAAGAAAAATGTCCACAGAAATGATGCAAGATTACCAAATTATCATAAACAGATAAAACATGTAAACCAATGGCATATCACATTTTCATTTTGCACATGAATACTTTCTCTGCAAACTAAGACAAAAAAAAAGAGGAAGAAATGAAAATAAGAAAAAGCAATACATGAGAACAGTGATGTGGTATTTTTTTTGTAAAGGTTTTCCAAGCCCAGAACCTTTCTGTGTGTGTAACCTTGCATAGCTGTGGATGTGTAGCCATACAATAACACTGACTGGATTTCACTATCTCGCAGGGTGGGCCTGGCTAAGGCTCTGGGTTTTTGGGTGAAGGAATAAAGTTTTCATTTGCAGCGTGCAGACTCAGCTGTAAGGTTGACTACCAGGTGATATGAAGGAGACGGTGAGACGTTATGATACCTGCAGTTTGATTATGAGGCTACAGCTGAGTCTGAATGCTGCACACGAACACTTCCGTATAAAGAAGGAACTGTATTTTTTTTGGTTGTGTCAGACCTGATTTGGCTGTGTTGAACCTGATTTGTGATTGGCTGGAGTTCTGGGTGCAAAAGGGGTCGTGAGTTTGGGAGAAAAGGTCAGAGGTCAGTGCTAGGGAAAAGCTAGCGGGACAGCTGCTCTGGAGCTCAACATAAATTCAAGATTCAAGAAGCTTTATTTATCCCGAGGGAAATTACTGTGCAACAGAATCTCACTTTAACAACCCAGAAGCACATACGAAGCTGTGACTCTTCAAACCTTTAAGCCTCTGTAGTAACCACTTATTTTCCTAGGAGCACATGTGCCCTCAAATCTAGAACATTCATGCAAGAAATTCACGAGCACGATCTGTGAAACTAACAGAAAATGTCTGACTAGTGTTCTCTAATTGTCACATATTCAGTTTTTTTAGGACAACGTGCTAACACAGTGTGCTGTTTTCCTTTGATTTCTGTGCTCTGACACACTGAGCCCATGCTTAAAGTACAGTGCAAGTCCAGATCAGAGTGTACCAAAAAATTAGCACCACCCTCCCTAAAGTTCACCTTTTTGCACATAACCATGACTCAGGTATCTTAAAAAAAATTCCACCTCCACTTCTGTCAAGCGGATAAGGCATTGTAGCTTTTTACGTGTCACTCAGTTTCACAGAGACAGAAGGTGTTGCTGTTTTTATGTACACTCTCTACATGAGGAAACCCAGATTGATTGAATTAAACCATTCAATCAATCTGAATGTGAAACACTCTAAACATATTTGGCTAAATTCTTCATAGCACTGTAACCACAACTATACAAAAACCATCCAGTTTTACTCAATAGCACCATATGAATATTGTTCCCAAATTATAAAGGGGTAAGGGATTATTGGACATTAGTGTGTGAGTGTGTGTGTGTGTATGTGTGTGTTCAAGCGGTGAGGTAGGGATGCATCCCATGTTGTTACACTAACTTCTCACTGTGTATCTGCATGTGTGTACTAACTAGCATATCTCCCTGCTGTGGAGGAAAACCCTGTCTGTCTGTCTTTGTGTGTGTGTGTGTGTGTGTGTGTGTGTGTGTGTGTGTGTGTGTGTGTGTGTGTGTGCATGTACTGTGTGTGTTGTGAGCACTAAGCACATCTCCTTGCGTCGGAGACTTGCATAGCTTCTGCAGGACAGGAAGAGCAGTTGTCCGTTTGGACGGAGCCTTTGGCACAGCCTTGGCCGATAACTGAAGGCAGTACTCAAGTTGCACCATAGAATTCAAAGAGACAATCTGCCCTTATTGCACCGTAAGTACATGTGTGTTTCATATTTGCACCATATGAAGTGGGATTAGCAGCCAATTGACTCTGTAGCTTGAGTGTGTTGCACCATATGAACACCGATGCCGCTGCTTCTGCTGCGCGTTCGCACCTATTGAATCTAGTTTGCAGCAAATGAACTGATTAGACTTTTTTTTTTTATCGGCTAGCACCACAGAAAAGTAATGTAAGCTGACTATTCGTTCACACTGTTCAAACTTAAAGGGATACGTTAACATTTTTGGTGTAAGTCTCCTTTCTTTTGCTTATTTTCATTAAGAGATAATCTGTGGATCATTTTTTAGATTCATTGATTAATCATTTAGTTTATGGTATGGTTTAGTGGTTTCCAATTAGGGGGTAGGGACCCTGCTACGGGTCGCAAGATGATTAAAATGTTTTCTTTTTTCTTTTGTAAATTACTAAATACATTAACCTCTTTAGGCCTCTGATATATAATAATAATTACCTTTTGGTTGTATTGGTCCCAACCAGTGGACATATGCAACCAGTGCTGAGTGATTGCACTTTGCAGACTTTGCTTTCTTCTAAAGGGGAACTAATTTTACACATTTAAGTCTATTTCCAGGTATTACGGAGGAGTACTCACGGATTTAGTAAGCCTTTAGTGGCTGCATGAATTCAGATAAATTGCCCCAAGTGAGTCAGCGTTGGTAGGCTTAGAAAGAAGTGAACTTCTGTAACTCGCTCCTCGTCTCTGCTTGAGGCTAGTGGCTAAAGGCTAAATCAGCCGCTATTAGCCTAACACACTCAAATCTGTTGGTGACCGAGTTGCTTTATGGGTAATGTAGTCGCCAGGTTTTAACAAGGAAGAAGACTTTGTAGATTAAAATAAAATGGTTCTGATTTTTATCTTGTCCATTGTGAGTCTGACAATGTCCCAAAAGATTGGGAACCACTGGACTAAAACAGTCCAAAATCCCAAAGTATTAAGTTTATATTGAAGACATGGGCAAGTTTACTTGATTACTAACTTAATAAATGATCACAGTTGTTGTAAATTAACTTTTGCAATCAATACCAATATCACTAATCAAGGTATTGTTTCAGCACTCAAATATGGTGGCCAATTTTAGTCAATAAAAACAAAGAAATTTAGCTTCAAGCTTGCTTTCAATCTAAATTTCAATGGCTGGCATTAAAAGACAACATCTTCTACAAATTGACACCTGGACAAGAAAATAAGAGGCTAAAATTTGCCCCAAAAATGTTAAAGTAACCCTTTTAACTCTCTTTATGTGCTATTTATCTTCACCTGCTTGATCCTCTCGGCCAGCAGCAATAATAAGAAGCGTGTTCGTGTTAATTTTTTTTAACTGCACCATCTGAAATGGCTCATGGTTGGGTTTCACTTGCTCTACCGCTGACATGGGACTGGAGAAAAGGTGTGGAGCGTTGGATGGCGAAAACACTTTCACCACCTTCCAAACCCGTGCTTTTACTCGCCGCCACGCGGTGTTAAAGCAGCCCCCCTGACGGGTGTGTGATTTCAGGACCAACGTTCCTGTCGACGGGCTGATGACTGATATATCGGCTCATTTGTTGTCGCCTGCCAATGTAACAGCTTGGATTACAGGGATAAACAAACAAAAAAATAAATAATGAGCCATACATCACAGCTCAGCCGTGGGTGGATTTGGAGGAGTTGATATTGGACGCTTTTCAGGAGAAGACAAGTCATCAGGAAGGTTGTGACGATTGAAGTCCAAAATTGTTTTACATCAACTTCAGTGGCAGCACCCTGTTAGCGTGGGACCGACATAATTAAGACATCACACACTGGTTGGTGCTGGTAGACACTGATCAGAAATAATTAGTCTGCTCTTTATGTCGACAATTTTGAGACAATTTCTCTTTTTTTTTTTTCATCGTCTAAGAACGTAAACCGACGCAAACCGCGCATTTGCAACCGGACGGGATAACTAAAGACCACTCAAAGCATAACAGGAAACGATGGAGAACAACTGAACGACTCCCAGATGGCGTACACGCTCACGAAACAGCGTGATAAGCATGTACTGCCTTAGTCATTAGTAATACTGGAAACATCAGCAGGCACTAGCACTTGTACCTGATCATGGTGCCACCTCCTTTTGGATTCTTCTCTGTTTGGTCTGCTTTTAATTTGTGTAATTTTTTTGATGTTTAATGGCTTGCTTTTATACTTCAGGTTTCAGAAACACATGGGGGATTGGCACATTGACTAGTGTACACGTTTAGCAATAAGAACTGTAACATTAACACCATCCATCTGTCCTCAGTAGATCTTTAGCTCTGAATCCATGCTAACACATTAGCATACGAGGTGTTGAGTGAGAGAAAGGGACAGCCAGGCCTCTTGGCAATCTAAAGATTTATTTTTTTATATATATGTATCAAATAATATCTGTTTTATAGCCTATGTAGATAGTTAATTAGATTTTAAAACTATTTCAGGCAGGAAAGCTTTAATTTTGGCACGATCAAGTTATAGTTTCACATTGCCAGCCAAAGTTTTTGGGTCTTACTTTGAGCTGCTACAGCTTCTCCTATTCTCACTGTTAGAGCTAATTTTGCTAACTCTCCCTTAACATTGTGTATGCTCAAGTGTTAGCATTCTTATAGGACGATATGGACATTTTGGAAAACACGATTACACGAGTTTGATAAGATAAGACTGATAGCACTCTTTTATCTCTCTGTTAAGTATGAAGCTACAGCCAGGAGACTGTTCATTTATGAGCGTTAGAGACGCTGGTCGGGAGATATTCCCCCAGCTTTCAGTTTTTATGCTAAGCTAAGCTAACTGACTCCTGGCTCTGGCTCCATATATAGTGTAGAGAAATGAGAGTGGTATTAATCTTCTCATCTAACTATTGTCAGACTATTCCTTCACGTAGCGCAAACTTGAGCAGCATTTTGAATTTGTTTGAGCGCGTCTCCATCTTTCCCATCATGCTCTGCTACTCTGCTCAGTAACCTTGTCAACCAACCCCACAACCCGATGCGCCCTACTGCTTTGTCTCCAGTCAACGACAACGTAACGGTACATAAAAAACATCCCTTCTGTACATAAAAAATATATACACTACCTTTGACTACACTAACGACAACATGTTCACGAACTCCTTTTATTGAAAGTGACATTTGTTCTTTCTTTGTGTCACGTCTTTTTATTCTACTGAAACCCGTGAAAGTGTGAGCGACGCAACGTAAACGGCATGCGGTGGTCAAACACTCCAGTGTGAAACTCTGGCGCTCATTTTTGTATTTTATTTTTTTTTTCACTTCACAGCGGAGCGCGGACGTGTGAAATTAAATCAATGAGAATAGATGAAGAGTAATCGGAGGAGTTGGAAATAGAGAGACAGAAGGGTAAAGAGAGAGAGAGAGAGAGAGAGAGAGATGGACTCGCGCTGAAGCAGCTTGTTGAGTCATGGCCATGGGACTCGCAGGTCGAAGGTGCCCACAAGGAATGTGTGTATGCGTGTGTTTGTTAGTGTGTGTGTGTGTGTGTGTGTGTGCATAAAAGTGTGACAGATTGCTTTTGTGTCTGTGTGCTTACATCGAGTGCCACGTTGTGTGTGTGCGTCTTCTCTAAATCTGAACATCCACGTATACATACATGTCTTTTTATGTGCTTATGTGTACTGATGTGTGTTGACGTGTGTGTGTGTGTGTGTGTGTGTCAGAGTGAGGACTCATACTGCAACAGTTCATACAGCAGGGGTCCGTCACGGTAGCGGATGCCCACAGCGGCCGGCGTTATGTACTGCAGGATGTTTATAGTCCTCCGCAGGCGCCTGTCTACGTAGTGGGCATCCCATGCTGGATAACGCTTCCTGGGCATGTCGATCTTTATAAGCGGGCCCTCGGGCTTGGAGGTGGGGGGCGCTGACCTCACCTGGAAGACGGGAAGACACGTCTCGGCCACATCCTCTTCCGTCTGTGACTTGGTCATGTGGGCCGGGGTGGGCGGAGCGGTGGGCGGGGCTGACGGAGGCAGGGGGAGGCCCCAGAGCAGCTGGGCGCAGCAGGAGGAGGCGGGGCTTGGCTGGAGGTGGGCGCTGGCAGGGTGCAAGAAGCCGTAGTACAGCAACATGACCAGGACGCCGCCGGCGAACGTCAGGTAGACGCCACACAGTGCTGGGACAGCGTAGGAGTCAGTCATGACTGGATCCCTGTAGGCATACCTGCAGGAGGGTAGCGACACGGGGGGTTAAACTGACGTGAGTGTCTGTGCTTATGTAAAATAATGATATATAAAATAATAAATTAATTTGCTCCACACACTTGTCATATGTTCTTACTTTATAGTGTAATAAAACAATGTCCTCCAGCATGTCCTCACACTCTACACACTTCTGAAAATCCAGTTTCAAAGCCAACCAAGTATTAATGTGTCTTTTAATACTTTCTGACTTCCATAGCCCAGACCCTTGGTTCATACTGAAGAAGTCAATCATTTAAAGCTGCTCACAAATACATGTTTTTTAAAGGCTAAAGGGTTTCCAAAAAAAAAAGCTGGGCACTATAGTTGTTAGTTAATGTTACTCACACAGGAGTAAACAGTATATTTGTTGGGGACTATTTTGAGCGGCGTATTAATCCACATTTGTTGCTCTAGTGATTATTTCTGGCAGCAGGAGGGTGTGTGTGTGTGTGGGACTGAGCCAAAATGAACTACAGTGTGTGTGTTCGGCATATTGAAGGAACATGTCAGCCAGTGCAACAGCGTGGCTCAGTGATGTGTTTTTAATAGTTTTTGTGAAGCTCTACGGCACTGAGGAATACGATATATCCAGCTTTAAATACACACACAATACTTTTTAGTACGATACAGTTATTGTTGGTTTTGGTCTTTTCATGGAATTTGTTTATAAAAACGAAGTCAGTGCCTTGAAGACCTTTTAAGTCCAGTTTTAACCACCTAAAATGACATTTAGAGGTTTTATCTGCATTGCTGACAACATTCACACTATTAGAATTCATTACAGTGTAAATTCATACAAAACATTTAGGATCTCAGCAAACCAACATCCTCAGGAAACTTCTTTTGGAATAAACTCCCAGTTACCTTAGGGAAGCTGGCTCCCTTATGATTTTCAAATCCACATTTGAAACCTTGCTTCTTTGAGGGTGTATTTGATTAAACCGTCTCTGCAGTGTAGGATAGCAGCACTTCAGGCTTAGCTTAGGCATAGCTAGAGTTTACTGTAGCTTTAGTTCTTGCAACACTTAAGGTTTATTGTCCACTCTTTAGTGTGCCTCAGAAGACTTTCTTTGAATCCACTATATATTATTTGGTGTTGTGGTATGTTTGGGGGATTTTTAGGTTTTTCCTTCATGATATTATGTTAGTTGCATCCAGGTTCTACTTGGTCTAACTCACCACAGCCCAGTGAGGATGGTGTTCTCGGCCAACACCACGGTGTAGTAGGCCACCATTCTGTATCTCGTCCGGCCCTCCTTCACATTAAACCAGCAGAAGATGTAGACGATGCCGACCACCATATTGAAGAGCACCTCCTCCCACTTGGACATGCAGAAGTCGGTGCCTCCGTGCACCACCCAGAAGGCCATGGCGCACCAGTGGACCACTACAAAGATGCCAAAGTAGATGTGAAAGAGGGAGGCAAAGAGGGCAAGCGAGAGGACGCGGGAGGAGATGGTGAAGAGGCGCCAGAAGAGGTGCAGCAGCGCCCCGCGGTAGCTCATGCTGCGCTGGTCATCACGAGAATCCCGCAGGAGTTTGTGGTAGGAGGCCAGAACCCAGGCGAGAGACAAGAGGGAGCCCAGGGAGGAGATGCCTACAGAGAGAGGAGTGAATCAAGGTTCGTGAAACAAAAAGTACATCAGAGCAAAATTATTATGAGTCATTGGGGGTGTTTTGTGTAATAATGTGAGCACATCCTTAAATAAGAAGTAGAGTGTGACACGACAGAAACATTTGGCAATGACGCTTAATGGCATGAGTCTGAAATATAAAGTTATTTTTAATGTCCCAGCTGCTGTGTGCATCCACCCCCTGTCCTAGTCACATATTTGCATTAAAGTAAAAGGTGTCCCAAAACTCTAGAGTAATAGGGATGAATAACACCAGTGGGTGGCCGCCTAGATGATACATTCCCTGGATGAATAAGGAAGAGGAGGCTGATGGAGTTCGGCTAGCACATCCCCCAAACACTTGTGATTGTGCTTTCTTCCTGGATCCTACCTGAACAAATACACTGTGTGAAAATCAAAAAGTAACACCATCTGCAGCCACAAATTACTGAGCATGATGTCTGCAAATTGCTAATTCCTGTTTGTGCAGCTGTTGATTTGTATGTGCTTTGTGGGCTACATGAAAACATGGTGTTGGGTCTGCCAATGTGGCAGGGTGTTGGTAGTGTTCGTGCAGTCCACCCGGCGTAACCTGGCCTCCACCTACACTGCAGCGTCTCGGCTCGGTTCTCCTGGATCATGATGCAGAGCTGCAGGACCAGCTGAGGCGCAGACTCCAGGAAGGTCTCCAGCAGCCGCAGCATGTTGACATCCGCGTACTCGAACATCATGGCCCAGTACCAGCGCCGCTGGTGCTCCTTCTGCCGACGCGACATGATGCCCAGGTACAGTGTCCTGATGTACCTGCAGGTAAGAGCACTAATTAATTAAAGTACAATACATTTATTTTAACATTTATTTTCTTTCTCGCTCATTCTGTCTTTTGGCTGCTTGTAATTTTGGTTTTAAGAAGTTCACTGATACTGTGATCACTAATCCCTAATAATCTGACCAATTAATTAGCTACTGTTTTAATAAATGTAATTTTTTTAAACGAACATTTGCTTTCTTTAATCACATATGATAACCTGAATATCTTCTGGTTTGGTAAAAAAAACTAAATTATAGTGGCCATTTTCACTATTTTCAGGAAAATAATCAACAGACTGATCAGTTACTACAAGAGTCAACAGTTGCAGGCCTGATGCAGATGGTACAGTGACAGGTACTCAGATGAAAACAGCTTGCCTGTTGTAAAGATGGTGTCTAAAATAATCAAAATTCGGAGCATTCAAATTATGTTCTGTTAACAGCTCATCTGAATCACAGCTAAACTAATGTTCTACTTGAAGACATACACGTGTTGTTCATTAGAGGAAGTCAGAAATTCTTTAAAATGTTGCTCTCAAATGACGTGTTTTTCACTTAAAAGGCTTAAAACACGCACTGTTCAGCCATTGTACACCTTTGACAATGTTATGTTAAAGGGACACCCAGTTTACACATTAAGTCTTGAGAGTTATCTTGTATGAATACACATTTACCAGGCAGGGGAAGGCCAAAAAATTATTATTGAGTTGCATTATGGGTGGTTTCTAGAGCTTGACCCTTACTTTTAATGTGTCAAGTCCCCAAACCTTGAGGACACTAAATCACTGGATTACCCCTTTAATGTTAATTATCTGATTTTAGCATTTTCCATTAAAGAAATAATTCTAATGCAACACTGTAGGCAGCAGAATTAAAAGTCCTGGCTGTCAGATCTTAAAACTCACCAGCCAAAGTGAAAACTTAGCGGTGGGTAACAAGCAAATACTCATCAATAAATTAACTTAATCTCTCACTGCCCTCTCTTTTGCTTAACTGAACTTCTCCTATAAATATGTTTCATTTCGGTCTGATCATTGATGGAACCTCTTCATGAACAAGAGTTTCATCCATACATACTGAGTGGGTTTCTAGATATGGAAAACTACAGTACATGTGGGTGGGATGTAGGCAGTGATTTTAATTTAAAAATGCCTCAGGGCACTCAGAGTGCGTGCGTGTGTGTGTACGCACGTATGTACTTGTGTGCAAATGATATCCTCCTGATTTCCCTGCGTGTGCATTACCGCTGTACATGCATGGGTGTCATTGCGTGTGTGTGCTCCTACATTATGCATGGCTCTGTATGTGCAGCTATTACTGCCATCTGGTTTGAAACATACAAGCTTAATGCACAAAACATAAATAATACACCATCCATAGGAAAAAACCCTACATGTGCACGCACAGAACTCATGTGTTGTTAGAAAAGGCTCACGTCCGGTCTGGATTGATGCGGAGGCCGGGCATGAGCAGGCACTTAGGCTGCCAATCATGGGAGCACTCCTTGCTAATTAATGAGCTTGTGGCACGGTAAGGAGAGGGGCATGAAAAGTCCAATGTGGACTTCTTTTCCCAGCCCACACTTGGCATGTGACACTCCACAAAGTGTGTTCTGATGATGCAGAAAGTTTTTCACATCTTTATTCTGGAAATGGACTTCTCACTGCGTTGTTAATGTGTGTGTGTTTTTTATATTTTATGTACAGATCTGGGCTTACTTTGCAGACACAAAAGGTTGCACTGGCTCATGACCCCTTAAAATATATGGTGTTAACTTCTTAAATTTTGAGCTCCAATATCAGTATCAGGTGCCGATTACTGACCTAACTCACATATCGGATATCCAACTGACATCAACGATCCAGATTCCATTTTTATAAACAAAGTAAAACTTCAATTAATAGCCCAGGCTTTTATTATTCAACCTGCCTTTATTTGGAACAGGCCTCTATATGGGACAGGCCTTTAATTCCTTTTGCATAAAACTCTTGCTCAGCAAAGATGGGAAATACTGATTTAAACCAGGATGAATATTAAAAATTGGGCTGCTGAATAACATATCAGTCACAAATCACTCATTTAATCATTTGATACTTTGGTGTTCATGGTTTTTGAAAAATGAACTGAAGGATTGAATCAAACCAATTTAACGATTTGCTCGTATTGACAAAAGTTCAAACGTTTGTATTTGAGTAGGCGATTTAAGCATCTTAGAACTCGCTCCAGCGGTCGACCCGGTGGGATTTAAGAGGTTTTATACATCCAAAGAACTTCTATTAAATTCAGACCAGACCTCTAATTGGGACCTTGCTTTTAATTTAAGTTTTACGGTATATAATTACGCAATTTTGAACCCCATAGACAAAATGTTGTGGCACATATTAATTCATTAGTGATTTAAAAGTTCTACAGAGACGTCCAGTCCACGACATATTTCTTTGTCTCCCAGAATTCTATGAGTTAGACATGGAAGTTGTGCTACAACAATGAAACCAGAATCCCTTTTTTCACAAAAGAAAATTTTGTATTCTTCCTTCTATCCCATGAATCATCTCACAAGCTCCTCAGATTTATCTTGTGATCCAGTGGAGGGGTCCCGATCCCCGATCAATGCTGTACATTATTGAATTTACACTAAAGCGTGAACGTTATCCATCCCGTCTTCCTGTGTTTTTATTGACCCTCCAGGGCCGAGAGCCATCCTATACATCTCGACCTATCCTTATTACCCTACGCTTCATATGTTCATGCTGCTAATCAAACCAGTTAAAGCTGGTTTAATTGATCTTATTAGCTTTCAAATAAGACACAAACACCAACATGCTGTTTGTCCTTGACTCAAGAACAACGAGAGATGAATAACCAGCATCATTTGTTCGGCTTCTTTAAAATCTATAAACAGGAAGTCCTTGTATTCGCGTGCAGGTCAAGGTTTGAGGCTTTACTGCGCAGCGTGTATGGCGACCCTGACAGGCCCTTAACGCCTGGACATGGAGGGATGTGGTTTCAAACCATATGTACCAAATACAGTAGATCTTCCTACCCCTCCACCCTACCCCCACCACTCTCACTCCTCCTTTCCCTGTCTCGCTCTCTTTCTTCTCCCCTCCCCCCTTCTACTCGCATTGTGCAACCCTTTCTCCCTCCTCCATCTCCTTCCTCACCCCTCCTTCTCTCTCCATCTCCAAGCGATCTGTCTCAATCAGGCCATACCATTTCTTCAGCTGTAAAAACACTACACTCCCCCCCTGCGCGCTCCCTTCTTCTTCTCCTTCTTCCTTCCCCTGCCCCTCCACTTCCCCCAGGTGGGCGAGTCCATTATGCAGGCTGTGGGGGGTGATTACTGGGTGGGGTGAATGGAGGTATAGGAGGAATGTGTGTGTGTGTGTGTGTGTGTGTGGGGGGGGGGTTGATTTAACCCTACAACCACAGAGAGGCTGGAGCTGAGGAGCTGAGTAGCACAACAGGATGTAAACACACACACACACACTCATTACTCTACTCTCCCTGCTGTCCACCCAGAGGCAAGAGGACACCATTAAGGAGACTTTTCAGGGAGAGGGGTGGGGAGGGGGAGTGAGCACTGTCCTTGTATAGAGGGCTAGGAGGCAGGAGACTAGCTAGCGCACTCCTGCTACTACTACTACTACTACTACTACTTCTGTTTCCAACGCTACACACACATGCACAAGCAAACACACACACACACACACACGCAAGTATATGAAATCATGAGCCAGGAGAGCAAGGAACCTACAGTGTGTGTATATAAGAGCATGAGGGTGCATTTGTGTTTCTTGTTTTCTTTCCCGCCAGTGCTTTTAGCACTACAATTAGCACCTACCCATTTCCAACTTTGTGTATTTGTGTGTGTGTGTGTGTGTGTGTGTGTGTGTGTGTGTGTGTGTGAGAGAGAGAGAGAGAAAAGAGAGAGAGAGGGAGGGACGGAGTGAGATAGAGAGGGAGATGTGTTGCCAGAAGCGCAGATGCTTTTCCTCTTTGTACTCTCCATGCATGCTGACACTCATGAGAAGAGCCGTGACACCGTTTTTTCCACTGGTCCCACACGCTGACACACACACACACACACACACACACACACACACACACACACACACACACACACAGTCCTGACTCCTCTGTTGTCCAACTAAAGTGAAGAACAGTGCTGAGACGCTGTCCGTGGTGCTGAAAATGCATTCAGCACCACGGACAGCGTCTCAGCACTGAGGATGAGGATATATGAGGATGTATGAGGATATATGGGGCACTAAAGAGTGTGTGTAGTCTTATTGTACTAACACTATGATTGCTACAGTTGTAGTAGATATTGTCAGTGACTTGAACCCCTCTCAGCCATAAATTCAGTACAGTATGAGTTGCAGAATTTCATCCGGTGACCCAAAAAAGAAAAGAAACTCAAAAGAAGTTACAGAGTTTGTCTGTAAAAGTGTGATCACTGTCTCTCTGACTGTCTCTCTTCATATCTGTCTGTCATTCTCAGATAGTAACTGAAGCGCTGGCGAGGTCACAGAGAGCCTTTCCCTGTCCTCCTCTTGCTCTTCCTCTCCTGCCTGTCAGTGTGAAGCAAGCTTTGCTCTCTTCTAGTAACATTGAGTAAGACACTCCGCTCTACCCATTAGAGACATTAAGTGTGTGTGTGTGTGTGTGTGTGTGTGTGTGTGTGTGTGTGTGTGTGTGTGAAAAAGGCTGAGTGTGAGAGAGAGAGAGAGAGAGAGAGAGAGAGAGAGAGAGAGAGAGAGAGAGAGAGAGGAAGAGGTGACAGGTTAGTATCAGGTGTGTGTTTTTGTTTGTGCCCTGCTTCCTACCTCCACACTTGTCCCAGCTGGAGGATGTGTATGATGGCCTGCCACAGCCAGATGGTGGCCAGCTGCAGGCGGTCCCTGCCGGGATACAGGCACCCCAGAGCCACCGCGCCCCGCTTAGTCAGCCCCTCCACCTCCCCGAGCCCCCCGCCGGTGTAGTCCTGCACGAACCAGCGGAAACTCAGAATCTGGACCAGCACCGACGGCACCAGCACGAAGAAGAGTGTGAGGCCGAACCAGAGGTAGTCCTGCCTCTGATAGTAGTCCACCGCCAGGCAAAGGTCCGTACCAACGTCCCAGAAGAAGACGAGGAGGGCGAGGATGATCCAGAGGCAGTCCAGCCACAGCTGCTCCCGGGGCGGGCAGTGAGTCTCCCGGATGCCGACCCCTCCGATAGGCTGGCCCCCGCCGAGCAGGGAGCCGAGGCAGGCTGAGCGGCAGCCCCAGTAGCAGGCGGAGGTGCGGCAGCACTGACAGATGTGGATCGCGGCGGAGTCCAGCGGCTCCTCGTTATCAACATCGTACAGCTGGGCGAAACCGCCGCCGCACCCGACCCCGGCTTTGCCGCCGTCCGACTGCGCGGCCATGTTCCCCTTCCCGCTCCTGCCCTCCTGCGAAACGCACGACAACCGCACCGTTGTGCTTTCTCGCGGGGCGCGGATACCACGTCACTTCCCAGATACCTGCTGTCCCCTTCCCTCTCGCGCCGCGGCGACTGCTGTGTCTCTGTGCCCGGGGCGCGAGGAGCCATCAGAGCCGGCGGCCGCGCGACGGCGGCTCCTCTTCTTCCTCGTCCGGTCTAGACACCGCCACCGGGCGCTCGCGAGCAGCAGCAGCAGCGGAATCAGTTCCCGTTTTAGTCCAGCAGCCCTGCATCATCCCGTCCTGCGCGCGCGGTCATCTAGGGCGACGGGAGGCTATGACGTAATGCATCTCCCGCTGTTCTTAAGACGTGTGAGTGAGTGTGTGTGAATGTGTGTGTGTGTGTGTGTGTGTGTGGGTGCGCGCCGGACACCAACTATTCTCTCAAACCACGACTCGCGCTAATATAAACCCCCGTGCAGTCAACCGGAGGACCCCCGACTCCCGCCTCTCATCCCGCCCGCTCTCAGGCTGCAGGTACCCGGCATCCGCTGCAGCCCATGTCCGCTCCTTTCCGCAGCTCCAGCCCTCTGCAGCTCCAGCGTCCCCCACTCCTCACTTTCTCTCTCTCACTCTCACTCCGCCCTCTACCGGATAACAACTTCAACCCCGAATTCACATCTGCACGCAGGCGCGCGCACGTGCACGCGCATCAGTGTATAAGGGTCGTGCAAAAAAAAAAAAGAAAAAAGCCCACTGCGCTGTACAGTAGCAGTTTGATTGTTTCCCAATGAAAACAGCTAGTTTCCTCCATCTAGAAGCAAAACATGAGATTTCCACCGTCTGACATTCATCTCTCCATCAATCATCATGCTTTCCTCCATCCATCCTCTCTCTGCACTTTCTCCCTCACATCCATCCCTCCATCATCCCCTCCAGTGGGCTGACTGCCCTGTGGCTCTGCCAGCCTAATCAGCCGTAACATATGTGTGTGTGCCAGTGTGTGTGTGATCCCTGCTAGGCAAGCATTCAGGATTTAGGAATGTGAGAAACTGGGATGGACACTGTGTATGTGTGTGTGTGTGTGAGAGGAGGGGGTAGGAACTGAGGGAGCTAGAAAGCTGAGAGGCTGTAGAGAAAGAGGGATGGATTTAGGAATTAGAAGAGGGATGAAAGGAGTGTGTGCGTGTGTGTGTGTGTGTGTGTGTGTGTGAGAGAGAGAGAGAGAGAGGAAAAATGGTTCATGCTGTTCCAAAGGATGAAAAGATTGACAGGAAGAATGCAAGAGAGAGGATGATGGGAAGATTTAAGAATTGTTGGAGAGAAGAAAAGGGCGTGTCAGAGACAGATGAGGGGGAAAGGGAGGGATGAAGCCACAAGAAAAGAGATGATGGGAGGAAAGGAAAAAATAGATAAATGGTATAGAGAAAAAAAAAACAAAAGCTGAAGGGATGCATTTAAGAGTTTTAAGGAGAGGGAAGTCTTAAGGGGGGACTAAATAAGGAATTCATCAGGATGATGAAGGTCAGGAGGAGGAAAAAATGAAAGAAAGTGATGGATTCAAAGGCTGGAAGAGGGATGGAGCAGAGGAATGATTTTTATCATACAGAAATATATATATTTTTAAAAAGGGGCTTTCTGTGCTCTGCTTCAGTAATGACTCCTCTTATAGAAATGCAGTCTGTATGTCATGGTGGAATGTACACGCACACACAGGCTGCATCACACACACACACACACACACACACACACACACACACACACACACACACACACACACACACACACACACACACTTAATTTATTTCTCCTAAACACACACACATACCCAGAAATCTGCAAGCATGTACATCTCTTTATCAAGCGCACACACTTGCTCCTCATTCTCAGAGGCACGTTTCTGTGCAAGCACTTGTCTCTCTCTCTCTCTCTCTCTCTCTCTCTCTCTCTCTCTCTCTCTCTCTGTCCACTGGAGATTAGCCTCTCTGTTGTCATGACAACCGTGGCTGTGCAGCTGAAGGACAGGGGGAGCCAGTGGATGGTTGTATAGCTGTGCCTGTGTCTGAGTGTGCCCCCCCCCCATACCGGGACTTAAGGCTAAAATCTGTCCAAAAATACAGAGAAATATGACCTGAACACCTGCAAAGGCATGTGTCAGCAACAAACTGGGTATGTTTGGAGCTATTGTCCACAGCGGAAAATTAAATCCTCACAAAACATCAAGGTTGCACATTGTGTCTCCTGGGAAAAACATGTAAATCCAAACAAACTTTATTCATGTTTTTTTTTGCAAATGTGAGGCCCAATATGCCACAAACAGCTTTTGCTAAATAGAATTGTAAGGAATACTCATGAAATTATACAAATGACATCTATAAGCAGTAAAAATCAAACCTCTCCTCATGAATCAACAGCTGCAGCTGCACCCTCCAATATGTATTCAAATGAATAAGCAAAAAACGCCGGAGGCCTCAAGATAAAATGGTTCTTGTGTGCTGATGATTTGGTTGCGCTATTCAAGTCAAAAGTAGGCAACGGCAGCAGCTCCTGGATCAGCAGTAAACCTCAAAAGACTAAAACAATGAGTTCTGAGTTGATGAGAATCAGGAAGGCACAAAATGAGAGTTTTAATCAGGCTGTAAGGACAACGCGAGATAAGACACCTCAAATATGCAGACATTTGTACATCTGCAGCAAAGGCTTTGTGGAAAGAACTCCATATAAAGTATGGGAACGAAATAAGAGGCATACTACACAGGACAGTTTCAGTGTATTAACAACCTGCTGCAGGAAGAGCACTAACAATTCAAAAGTTCTGGGGACAATACAAACATACAAATTCATTACCTCACCCTCCTCCATGCTACCTTCATCCCGACTTACAACATGATCAGCAAAATGTCAATGTATGGACACCCAAGGTTCACCCAATACAGTTACTTGATCAGATCACACCAGACTGTATTTAATTGACGCCTCCTTAAATCTCCTGTTATATTATTGTATTAGAATATTTGTTTTGTACATTACATTCGTCTATCAGATGCCACAATATGAAAAAGATTCCCTCCAAAATGTTATGTTTTTTGGGGGGAATCTTAAAGCATGATTGGTGAAACTTGCAAGAAACTACAATTATTAGTCAAATTTGTGGAAAAGTTGCAGTGATTGGACAAAACTGAAAGGTCACGTAGGATTCACAGAGATTGGCTGAACTTGCATTAATTATAGGGACAGTTTAATGTCACCATTTTCACATGGCGGCCTTTTTCCTCTGACATCCAGCTCAGGGTGGGAAGCTAAAATTCTGTACTGATGTATTTCAGGTTATAAGTTGTATAACTGTAAGGAATCGAGCCATGTTTTAAGGTAAAACAACGTACATGATAATTGATTAGCTATAGTTAGACAGTATCGTTAGCATTCAACCACTGCCTCTCTAACATTAGCGTTTGATAGTGCTATTTAAGATAAAACAAATGAATAAAAGCTTAAAACAAATAAAAGGTGAAAACAAACAAATCATTATGTTCATTAACATTAACAGGTATAATAGTAGTTTGAGTTTTACTTTGTGCGCTGCTCCTTTAACACGGACAGGTAACAGCCAATCAGAGCCCAGTCAGGATCTACAGCCAATCAGAGCCCGCTCAGGATCTACAGCCAATCAGAGAGCTTTAGCGCCGCTTGCTGGAGAGAGAGGGAAAACAGAGCCGGAAACGAGTGAGAAGAGACGGAAAAATAGGAGTAAACAAGGAGGTTTTAAAGGACTGTAAAGTTTTATTTTTGTGTTTTTGTGTTCACCTTCTGTCCACATCGCTGGAGTCATTATTTTTGTTTGTTTTCAGCGAGCATTTGGTGAGTTTAATCTAGTTTTCAGTTAGCATGCAATATTCCCTTGTTTTCAGTGTCCAGCCAAAACCTCCACTAGCAAAGGTAAGACAGTGTGAAGTAAGTTATTTTGTGTATTTTGTGTTTTTTTTTCTTTGTGTAAAGTGAATTTCCAGTTAAGAGGAGCACTTGGTTTCTGCACACCTGAAGCTGGGAGATGAAGGTGATGGGACAAGTGTCATAAGGATGGACACTGATTCATACACCTGAATGCACTTGAAAAGGAGGGTGAAGGAGTTTCTATCTGCGACTCTGAAAATGGACATGACAAAAGAGACTGATGAGAAAGATGTCTCTGAGCTGACTCTTCAGCTGCAGAAGGCTCATGAAGATATCCAGCTCGGTCTGGATGAGACCGAGGATGCTAAACAAGAGCAGCAAGAGAAGGTCCTGGCTTTAAAAACGGGCATCATGGACCTCAGTGTGAAACTGCAGCAGGAACAAGTACAATTGATAAAGAAGGCCGTCGAGCTCGCTCCCTGCAACACTGAAGATGAATGCACCAGCCAGAAGAAGAGGTAGAACAGGTCAACCTCCAGCTGCAGGAGCTTCAAGTTGGGCTGATGCTGCAGGCCCTGAGTCTGAAAACCATTGGGAAGGAGAGCCCCAACAAAGTACTAGTACACACTCTGTTGTTTCAGAGCTGCAGCAAAAAGATGTGGACCTGGAGGAAGAGGCTGCCAAAAACCAGGACAAAGATGTTTGTTTTTGTTTCAAATCCAGCAGCTCAGGCCGAAGTCACAGCTGCCCAGAAGAAAGCAGTGGAGCAGCAGCAGGTCCATTGAAGAAGGTGGCAGGACGAGGGGACGATAATGACGTTAATGACACAGTTGTAAAGTACTAGTACACCCAAGTTGTACCTAAGTGCAGTACTTAAAACCCCTACAAGGATCTTTCAGCTTTTGTTGATTCTGGTACATAGTGACATTCACAAACTCACTTCATTTTTCAGTGAAGGAACTATTCAAATCATGATGATGTGAAATTTGAGGGGGTTTGTCCATCTGGAGAACCCCGGCAGTATGTAATCATGATGCTGTTTTGTCACACATTTGACCTTTATTTAAAAACTGCAGCTTCTGTGATTTGGATTTTGCACTTGGCAGATTGCGATTTCGATACGATTTCGATTCCTTGTGCAGCCCTTCTGGAGGCTGAAGGGACAGTATGTACAGCCTCTAAGAAGAGAACACACACCATCCAGACTGTCACAAGAATCTAACAGAGGAATGAAAATGCATTTTTCTGCAGCAGAATATGTGAATGTATACCAAAACCTCAGGGGAGCTCACAGACTGAAGCGATGAAGAAGTGATTATACAGGCTTGTCATGTCATTTTATGTTATTTTGTTCAGTTCACAGAGGCAGTTTTATCCCCCTTTTCAATGGAAATTGATGTGTCACCATTTCAGTGCTTTGCCAGTGTCAGAAATCTACTTTCATGCTGTTAGAGCTTATTTGAGAATGACCCCCCCCCCACCCCCCCAAAAAGGAAAGACATTTATATAATCATATCTATAATGTAGAATGTTAAATTTTTAATGCAGTGAGTTTTTGGGATCTTTGGGGTGTTTGGAGACCATTTTAGGCACACACATTTAGGAAGTGAACAAAAAAACATAAGAACCAGTGACCTTCAACTTGGCCGAATATTTCCACAGCATCAGAGGAGTTGGTTTGAAGTCGACTTGGTGACAGTGTCAGGCAGAAAATGACTGCAGAGCTAAAAACAGCAGTTTCTGACAAAGAAAGTCAGGCCATTTTCTGTTCCAGGGTTTTATGACTGATTATGAGAAGAACCACTTAAGAGTTGATGGCTTTCTTGCTCCTTTGGGGGGCGATTTGTCAAGAATTAAGAACGATGCTGAAATTGAAGCAGGGTGGGAAGCAGGTCCTGCGGCCTCCTCAAAATCGAAGGACCTTTTATGGTTTGGTGCCAAGGTCAATGTGCAGTGCAGCGCTGCAGCAGGCTTGACTTGACTCCGACTATCGAGTCTCAGGTCTCTCAGGTCAAGTAGAATTTATTATTTATGAAGAACATCTATGAACACAGGTTGAAAACACATTACCGAGAGGCAGAAGTAACCAAAATTGAATTAAAGAACTGTACCAACCAAATTAGGCATGAAGAGAACAAGACACTTGAGACTGTATAAATTCAGACAGCTCACTGGCTGCTACTACATCATTCAGTAAAGACAGTGTATTCAGTTGCAGCAGGGCTGCTCGTTAAAGGCAGATATTTACATTTTAAATGGTTTGTTAGATTTCTGCAAAAGTCCAAACAAAGGAGAAGAAGTGAGAATGCACTGCAGGGCTGGCTTTGTGCTGCAGCCATACATAGAGAAAAATGGGGGAAAAACATGCAATAATCTGTGATTCTGTGCTTTTCTGCCTCTTCTTCATCTGTTTCTGCGTCTGTGGGATAAAAGATTATCACTCGGGTTAATTATAGAGGCAGCTCTCATTGACCAGTGAACTCCCAGGTTCCCTCAGCCGAAAACTGATTTGGTTTTGGTTCAAATGCCAGAATTAAGGTCGCTTACAGTTTCAATTTGGCTTTGAGACAGCTTGGCGATAATTTAAAATTAAACTACAGTCATAATTTTACATTATGGCTTTATGAATATATATTTTAAACAATGTGAAAACTCAAACAAACTTGACACAGGAGCCCTCTTGAAGACAAGGCCTCAAGATATAAGGCAGGAAACCACCTTGACGCTGCTATAAGCAGTATTTTTCTATTAATAATCATCCAACTCTGCAGCTCTGTGGAGCATTTTAGTATCTTTAAGCTTAATGTTTAAATTTTCCAAACCCGCAGATTTACCATTTTGGTTCACTCTCACAGCTCTCATCAGTGTTATTTTCAACATTAACCCACTTTATGCTACCTGTATACCTGCACCAGCTCGTTGTGCTGCCCCCAAGTGGCAAAAAATCAATGAGTGGGGGTTTAGGCCCTCAGCATGTCAGCTGATATTTTGTATAAAATATTAGAATTAATCTTCAATTGAAGGGCCAGTGTGTAGGACAGATCAGTGGCATCTAGCGGTGTAGTTGCAGATTGCAGCTTACTTGCTTCCAAGTGTGTCGGAGAAACTAAGGCCCTATCTAGAGACAGTGTTTCGTTTGTCCGTTCTCGGCTACTCAGGGTTTGAGTTATAATCTGAGCTTTGTGAGGGTCTCTAAAATAAGCAACGTTCGGGGTGGAGATAAATAAATAATAGCCTAATGGGTTCTCTTTCCATGAGAGAGAGAGAGAGAGACTCTTCACCGCTCATTACGTGGTCCTACACTTACGCACATACACAGCAGTCCACTAATTGCAGCAATTGTATTAAGTAGATTGCAACAACCTGAAACTGCACTACGATATTGCAGCAAAGTTTCAATAGACTGAAATATGCCAACCGAGACCCATCACTCAAAGGGAAAATGCATTTCCACCCTTTTTGGTATTAACAGTACCGTATCCTATGTAGCACTCCGCTAATGGGAGCATGCATCGGGTTTTGCAAGTCGTAAAACCAAAAGACAGCAAGCGGTGAATACAGAGAGACATGATACTCGTTACACTTATAAATGTATTCAAATAATGGTTGTTGGTAATGTATTAGCAACCCCCGCAGACGTATGATTTTACTTCTTTCATGAGACCCATTCTTACGGGAGCTTGGCTCCCACTGGCTCCCACTAGCTCCCACTGGCTCCCACACAACTTGAACCCTGGGGCGACTGTACAAACATGACGGTTCAATATGACGGCCTCTCCTCCGCTCTCTTTGTAGATAAAAACAGCTCATTCTAATGTAACAAAAACACAATGATTCTTGTTTTCAGGTGATTGTACTCTAATAAAAAGATACCTATGAATATTTATTCCATTTCTGACAATAGATCCTCCTGAATGTTACACACTGGACCTCGGCTGAGCTTTACCTTTTAACTTTTGTCATCACTTTTGCTTTCAGAGTGTTCAACTACGACACTTGCGTGCGTTGCTGCTGCCAACAAACTATGGAGGCTCGTCATCCTGACAGCCCTACGCACAGACCTGGTGTTGACTGACTCATAGAGGTTAACACCAAACTGTACTTCAGCTGTCTGATAATATTAATAATCAGCGTGAGCCAGTAATGAGTAGTACAAATGCATCACTCTGCAGAGAGTCACAGGGCTTTATAACGGGGTACAAAACTAATTTCGCGTGGAGAAGAATTAGGTGACGGGAGTCGTGAAGTGTGAGGAGAAATATTTGTCTTTTCTTTGTTGATGGAACATGATGTGAAAAATGTCCCTGCCACTGTGTCACTGACAGCAATTAGCCGGCGGTTATGAGAGACAGTAGTGGGAGTTTTGGAGGAGTGAGGCACACTGCAGCAAACAGTTTGATCGAGTCCACTGAATGTGATGAAATGTATTAGACTCCACAATCTGCTGGGGTGTAAATATTTTCAAGCTGCTGAGAGTCAGTTGGATTTTTTTTCGTACACTTCAGGGCCGAGAAGCATGTTTTGGAAACGATGGAACAAATTTCACTGTTAGAGATTTTATTTATCGTGAGCCAACACTCTCGGAGCTCAGATCAAGGATGATTTTTCTTTTCAAATCGGTCTCATGCTGAGTTTTCAGTTTGATCTCCGTGTTCCAACTGTTTCTGCTGTGGGGCGTTTTGTGATTTAGGAATCAGTAATGTTTCACTTTTGCTTCTTGTAACGCGAGGGAAGTTTATTTCTCTCTTGTTTCCAATAAAATAAGTGCAAGCATAACTTCTGCTTTTAATCCACAGACAGTCTGGGCATTTGTGTTGGTGTGTGACAGAGAAATCCATACTTCCTTTCGCTCTTCAGTCTCAAAGGTCCTTAAGTGAACTTTGTCACTACAGATAGAGCCAAGCACTTTGTGGTTTTCATTTTAAATCCCTGTAACTGACAAAAAGGAAACAGACTACACGTAGGGACATTTCTTGTGACAAACTGTTTTTGGCAGACGAGGGCAGACTCATGCACAATGGCAGGATCAGACTGGACTTGTAGTCTCTCCGCTATGCATGAATGGGAGGTAGGTTAAAGGAATAGTTTTATTCTCTTTATTGCTGAGTTAGATGAGGAAGTTGATACCGCTCCCATGCTTGTGTGGTAAATATGAAGCTACAGCCAGGAACTGGTTAGCTTAGCTTAGCATAAAGACAGGAAGTCTCTGCATCTCTGGCCAAGAAATAGTTTGGCACATAACCCAGCGTAAAACAGCAACTTGTCATTTCTACACGTCTGTTTTTGTACAGATTCAGATGAGAGAAATCCCTCATTTATGAGCTTTAGAGTTGCTAGTACACAGAGTTTATTCTGTTTGGACAGAGCTAGGCTAGCTGTTTTATTAGTTTCCAGTCTTAATGCTAAGCTAAGCTAACCGGCTTCTGGCTCTAGCTTCCTATTTAGCATACAGACATGAGAGTTATCATCTACCTTTTTACAAAAAAAGGGAATATTCTTCTAAATTAAGCTATATTATCATTATCGCTTGTCATAAAGCATAAAACATAAAGCTATAGCCTAGCTTTAATTTTCATTTCATAATAAGTGTTTGAATCCAGCGAATACGTTGAACAATTCTTTAAATTGATATTTTGTGTTTCTCAGTCTCAAGATTACGAGCCGTCACTTCCTGTTTCGGAGAAGTCCAATCCCCTGACGCGCGACATCGACCGGGCTTCAGCCAAATGTATAGTGAGGATGTTACAGGCCTGTGACGCCCAGATGTTTCAAGAAGAGACGGGAGCCACGTACCAGGTATTCCATCAACAATGAGTAGAATATATAACGTTTTTTTTCATTCTTTATTCTTTATTCTGAAAGTTTCCTGTTAAGAAATGATATTTGGTTGTCATTTTCAGAGGCTTTTGGGTGAACGAGTGGTGGAAACAGTGGTGGAGGTTGCTAAGAGGGTGCAGCTCGTTCTCAAGGTATCTTCTCTCTGTCTGTCTGTATTTCTGTTGGTCAGTGAGACAGGTTGTTAAAGCCTGTCTTCTCTATCGTTGACAGGATCCTCAGGACAGCCTTGTTGTACTGAGTGGCTGTGGGACTTCTGGTCGAATGGCTTTTCTCATCACGGTAAACGTTGTCCTGAAATGCTCCCCACATGATTTAGTGCACTGCACACCAGGAACAAGGAAGCAAACAACCGCAGCACAAACACAATTTCAGTTATTTGGTCTCTTAATGATAATAAGACAATTTTTTGTACAAGAGTAAGTGATATCGTAGATCCAGGAAGAAAAAGCCAGAGTATGTCAGTAATATTAGTATAATGACACTTAATGGAATCATCTGATCAAATCTCTCTCTCGTTTCATGGAAAAATGACTTCCTGTTTGGTGTGTTTTGCCTGTTTGTGTGTGTGCTGTTAGTCAGCTTTCAACAGAGCACTGAGGGAGCTGAACCAGAGTTCGGTGTATTCGTACATCATTGCAGGAGGAGACAGGTTTGTAGCAAAGGAAGCAAACATGAATCCGGTTGCTGCTTTCTTTGCTTGTGCTACAGATTTTTTTTTTACATATCACAGGTTAACATTTCAATATTTCTTTCACAAAATTACAAAAAGCAAGTATTCAAATCTTATCTGTGACATGCTAAATGTGGTGGAACAATATGACAGGCAAAGAAGAGTAAGAAAGCAAATTAATTCAATTTAGAATTTACTAACAGTAGCTAACGTTAGCCATCATAAGCTAGTGGTAATACTGGACCAAATAAGGCTGTAGCAGCAAAAGCCCTGAGTCTGATGAAGTCAGTGAAGGAGCGATTTATGGCTAATGAATTCAACTTTATTTTGTAAGAGGACTCATGTGTTATTTATTCTTTAAAAAAATACATAGTCTTACTTTAATTTTACTTTAATGTTTAGATCAAGTCTCTATCTCTCATTTGCCTCAGAGCTCTGCTATCTTCCCAGGAAGCTCCTGAAGATGACCCCAAACTGGGCATGCTCAGTCTGAAGAAGGTGTGTGTGTTCGTGTGAAGACAGACTGTAAATGTGAAGTGCAAATGTGTGCAAAAACTGCAGCGTTTTGACCTTTGCATGTTTTTTTTCCGGCCTGCAGGCCTGTGAGGGGAAGAAGCGAGTCTTGTTCATCGGTATTTCCTGCGGATTATCTGTAAGTCGCTCTGATTGGTCAGAATCTGAATTCTGTGTTGGACAGGGTGTTAATTTACAACTTGTGCCAGTTTGTGTGCATTTGATTTCTGGCTGCGCAGGCTCCATTTGTGGCAGGTCAGCTGGACTTCTGCCTGCAGCACCCTGAGGTTTACACTCCTGTGCTGGTTGGCTTTAATCCTGCACATCAGGCCAGGTTTGTGAGAGTGTACATACTTCACTCTTATTGCATTAATATTACATTATTAAAAGATGGTTAAGGTAGGCATTATTTTGTAGGATTTGTCCCTGTGGGTTTGAATAAACATATTTAATTTAAATGACGACGTCTTAGGGATGAGCCCATGCCAGGCTGCACGTTCACTTTTCGCAGTGTGGTTCAAAGGATGCAGGAGCTCGCCAAAAGTCAGAAGGCCTTCCTCATCAACCCAGCAGTTGGGGTAAGAACCTCAGCTTGTACTCATCATACTCGGCGTGTCTCTGGACTGAATGTGTCTGTTTGTGTTCAGCCAGAGGCCATCAGTGGCTCCTCCAGGATGAAAGGAGGCAGCGCCACGAAGATCCTCTTGGAGGTTGTCCTGTCTGCTGCACATGCTGCCACCTTCACAAACACACCCGTCACACACAAGTGAGAACACTGAAAAACACTGAAAAGGATTGATAAAGGATGTGAGGCTTTGTCTGCAGTTAAAGGAGTATATTTTAATTTCACTCTTTGCACATTGTTATGTCAGTTTGCTGCTGCTGAAACTGTGCCAAGAGATTTTTAAGTGTCCTATAAATGATCATTTTCCTGCTGAGAGTAAGACGAGAAAATTATATCGATCTTCTCAACTAACTCAGAGCAATTAATGAAAAATAACAGAGGATATAGATGTAAATAACAAGTCTAGATCAATTTATTTATGAGAAATCAAAATCCAAAATAGATCCTGTAGTCTGTGTTTTCCATGTGCACAGCTATGATCTAATTTTAAATTGAGTAAAAACCACGATGGACCACCTTCTGATCTAATAAACAATTACCCAGCAATGTTTTCAGAACCCTTAAGGGACCTCAGATGTTTACATGTATCTAATAGACTTAAAAGTACATCACATTCTAGGATGAAAACAGGATTCACACATCTGGTTTGGTCCTCTGTTATGACCTGAAGGCATCTCATAGCACGTCCAGTATCCAACTCTGCACCCAAAGGTACAACATGCAGCTTCCTAAGTGCTTCTTTGTGTTGACAGCCTTCAGCCTGCAGCCGATTCTCTCTTGACAGCCGTCTGAAAAGCCTGTATGAAAAAAAAACCTGGACATGCCTTTCACATTAGAAATAAATGTTAGTACTGTACAGTCACATGTATCAGTGTATCTGCAGCACTTTCATGCTATCAGTGGTAATGTTAATGCAGAAGAAGGCACACGTGGCTGCATGTACGTTGCTTAATTTGATTCTGGGTACTGTGATTGTGTTTTTGCTTCTGTACATTATATATATATATACAATGTATGTATCAAACTAACAACAGCATTTTCAATGTGTGTTTAAATTGTGTGTTACTGACCTCTAGAGGTCATTGCAGAAAAAAGATTCTGTGATTGTACAATTACTGTTTACTGGATTGTACATTCTTGGACACAACTGCTGCATTTATTGGAAAAATACAATACTTACATGAAGTATATAATCTACACAAGTTGACCTAACACCTTTGTGCCTGCCTGTATAGCAGAAATATCTGCAGTTAGCTCCTCTGTGTTTGTTTCTTTCCAACAGGGGCATCCTGCAGCACATGAGAGCATACGAGAAAACTCTGGATAAAACTTACGCTCAGACTGATGGGATAACTGCTCTGTTGGAGGCAGCTGGGCAGAGGTAAAACATCCTGTTTTACACACTTTCACTTTAACCTTGAATTTTTTTGCCAGTCGTCCTCAAACATTTCACAAAAACACTGAAATACAAACGACAAAAATGACTGAAAAAACAATACTGAAAAACATTTTAATTGTTGAAATGCATTTGAAACTCTCCATTGAAACCCACAATAATGACATTTGTCAAGGTGGATTAGCTGCTTCCAAAGCTTCCAGTGCTAGAGAAAACTCTGATCTACAGTACTGGCAGCCCACACATGTGCAATAAGAGCCTTTCCTAAATGGTAAATGGCTGCATTTATATTTCCTCTTATTAAACAGACCGTATTGCAGACATCTAAAATGCTAAGACGATATAATTGTATTTGTGTGTCAATCACTGTTTTTATTCATGAAAAAGATTTGGAGCTCTACTATATGTGTTTCAGTTTGCTGTGCGGCAGGCGTGTGTGTTACATGGGCTGGGGCTCGCTGGCTCTGCTGGGCCTCATTGACGCCAGTGAGTGTATCCCCACGTTTGGAGCAGGTAAGAGCTGTGTGATGTACTCGTTAGCAGCGAAACAACTCGGCTTCATTAGCACTTGAATGAATGTTTTCTTTTTCTGGGTGATTACGTGACGCATAAAAGATCCAGTAAATCTAAAACAGTCTGTGGTTAATGACCAGATTTGCATTTAAGTAGTAATCTGGAAGAGACACATATTTTACATTTGCATGGTATATATCCTTTGTGTGTGTGTTTTTGTGTGTGAGACTACGAAGATGTTCGAGGCTTCGTCAGTGGAGGATACAAAGAGCTGAACAACAACGAGGGCCCCCTGATTTCACTGGTATGTGAAAGGAAACAATGAATCAACATCTGTTTAAACAAAAGAGGACAATTATAAATAAGGAACAAGTAATTATTGCAAATTGAGGCTTTTATTTGACACAATTCACTGTGTGGGGTCTTTAAGGATGAGAAACTGCCGCTGTGCAGGAGATTTAACAAATCTCTGAACTTCCTCTACAGTAGTGTTGTCAGTACTGGCTACATAACACTGACATTTCTGTTCTGGTCTAAGTCTAAAAAAATTACCTTACAAAGTATTAAAATGTCTCAAATCCAGTAAAATCCAATTAAAGTGAAATCCAGCTCTTATTTTACACTGTGTAATGACACACCTGTCTCTGCTGAACCTGACTTGTAGATTAACCTGGAACAGGATTAAAATGAAATACATCCTACTGTTCCTGCTTTTTCATGTCTGTTTTCAATTAATCTGCTTTTAGTCTTTTTATTACACTGCTGGGAGGTTTTATTTCAGTTCGGCTACTACTTGAATTTGACTTTTTGAAATTTGTATGTACTATTTATATCCATTTTTGTAGATTTTGTAAAACATCTATTATTTAGTATATTTAAAGGTGCACATATGTTAGGCTGTTACACAACATACGCATACAGATTTCTTCTGCATGTCACACCATTTTATCTCAGCACAGTAATGGCGGACTCTGCTACTGTTAATGGAAACAAGCAAAGAATTTGAGTGTTTGATCAGGAAAATCTTAAGGGTTATAACCCCAGAAACCTTTTTTTTTCTCAATAACATTACATTTTCATAACTAAAGAAACAACAATCAGAGTTAAAGTTAAAGAAAACCACAAAATATAAGGAACAAGCAAAACCTTGATTGTTATTTTTGGACCCCATTTGTCAAAGTAAGAAGCTGATTGAGAAAAAGTGAGAAAAAAAGTTAACCTGCCTAAGTGTGTTTCGCTTTATATGAAATTCTGGATATACATGGTGTATGCTTATAGGTATTTGAATATATCATGTGTTTTCTCCCCTCTAGGGTCCTGACTTTTGCATAGCGCATGAAGATTTTTTGCATCTAATCCTTCCCTCTCTCAACGACCAGGACATCGTTCTTCTTGTCTACACGCACTCTGGTGAGAGAACATATTTTCTCCCATGTTTGGATTCTGTCCAAGTCTAATCAACATGTGTCTTCTTTCGCGGCTCCTCTCCGCAGATGACGTCAGCGAAGTGGCGGAGTTGGCACGCAGAGTGAGAGAGAAGACATCCAACCTCCACGCCATTTATCATCGGGTTGATGGAGACACTGCAGCTGCTGTACAACAAGTATCTATCTATCTATCTATCTATCTATCTATCTATCTATCTATCTATCTATCTATCTATCTATCTATCTATCTATCTATCTATCTATCTATCTATCTATCTATATATCTATTTATCTAATACAGTTTGCATTGTGTTTTTTTTGCAGGAGGATTTCAATAAGCTGTGTTTATCCTCACTAAAAATCACTTGGCCATCACCTGCCTCAGAAAGCTTACTACACATGGTACAGCACACACACACACACAGACACACACACACACACAGACACAGACACACACACACACACACACACACACACACACACACATTGATTTACTGACTCATTGGGGCATGAGAAATAACCGTTTTGCCTCATTTGCCTCATTCCCACCCTCCTTCGACACAGCCTTTTCCCATAAAGAAATAAATACACCAGACAGAGGGAGTGTGTGTTAATGGTTAAATGTTAAAACACTGATTTAATTGTTATTGGTTTTCAGTTTTTCCTATTTCTTATTTTAGATTTTATTATTATGTTTTGATAGTTTGCTCTCAGTCCAGCTTTATGTAAATGCAGAGAGCAGAAAACCAATCCCTCCTCTCTCTCTCAGCAGTGGGAGCTGTCCACTAAACTGCTGCTGAACGCTGTGAGCACCGGAGCTCACGTTTTAAAGGGGAAGATTTACCAGAACCACATGATCGACGTGCAGGTCACCAACAGCAAACTCTACTGCAGAGCCACACGTTTGCTCCGGGTACATGAAATCACACTCACAATTTTGACCTGACAATATACATTATATCCTTTTTATGCACTGAATATGTTAATTCAGTTGTGGGTCTTTGGTTTATTCATTCAGTGAAGTTCCTGTTTCTGGATGAATAGTGTTTCCCTTACGGCCCTTTTCATGACTGCTGCGCATTATTTATTATCTTTACTGTGAAGAAGACATGTTTGTTGGTTTCTGCTGCATTCACACTGATTCAGAAAAGATGACACACTAGATATCATTTTACTGGACGAGAGCAGGCTGACAGAGAATACTGGTAATGAGGGAGGTAACGGTAGACGGCATGGCCAAAGTTAATCTGAAGCTGATAATTAGATGATTACATAAGATAATATACACTAAATAATAACATTTAATATATTCCATTCTTTGTACTACATCACCATAGCAACATATCATCATGGATTTTTTCTTTTGCTGTCATTCGTTTGGACTGTCTGTTTGTTTTCCCCGTGCCGTCCAGAATGTGTTGTCCGTCTGCTGTCTACCATCTGCCTGAATCCATGTGAATGCAGCGTTAGTTTGTAGCAACGTGAGGAGTATTATGCTCACATGGTGTATTTCCCTAAATACACTGAAGTAATTGTGGTTTTAGAACTGTTGCACTATAGTGGTGCAAATTCCCAAAAACTTTGCAATTAATCAAATTACCAAACATAAACTGGCACACAGTGGAAAGCCTGGGGCTCTTGGGCCCCCTGGAGATCTTGGGCCACAGGGTGGCTGCCTGCTTTGCCTGGATGGTAAGCCTCAGACCTGAAGAACACCAGAACAACCATTTTCCAGCAGAAGTACCTTCGCCCCGATCTGTGGACACCCTTAAACAGCAGCTTGAGACCCAACTGTTAGACTCACCTTTGCTTAGTTTTATCTATTAATGTTAAATATTTTTTATGTACTGATTTAATATTGTGTCTCTTTTTTTTCTCAAAGTGAAACATTTTGTGCTGTCTGATCTAGAAAGGTGCTACATAAATAGCACACTTTACTTTTCTCCACCTTGCTTTAAACCATGTTGCTGTTCAGCACATCCTCCTGATCTATGACCCCGTGCAGTAGGAAAGACATTAAGCTTCCTCCTGCACAGACTGAACGTCAGTACAGTTATAGTACACACTGAAAGATTTTGAAGCTAAACTGAAGCTATCTCCTTCTCCGTGTAGAAGCTGTCTGGTTGTCCTGAGTCCCAATGTGAGGAAGCTCTTCTGAAGGCCATCTACGAAGTAGACGAGCTGACAGTGGGCATCACATCGTGCGACATCACCACGCACACACTCACTGCCAGAAACAGGAGCAAGGTGAGGAGGCAGTAAGGTGCATAAAGCGCTGGAGGACTGTGGATGGATGGTATTATATTTTCTCTCTCTGTGCGTAGGTGGTCCCTCTGGCTTTGGTCTGTTTGCTGACTGGTTGCTCTCTCGTGGAGGCAGAGTCTCGTTTGGAGCAACAGCCAATCGTAAGAGAGGCTGTGAAGGCATGTCTGACATAATTGACATGGCATGATGTCATCGTCCAGCCCCCCTACACACATATTGATGTGTTTAATCAATCTTTCCCCTCTACAGAGGGGTCATAGGTCAGCTTTAATGTTGGTCTAAGATAAATTGATTTCTACTGTATTCGGTGTAATTATGACACACAGAGTTTTCCTTTATTGGTTCTTGCTTTGATTATGAGCTAATATCTATTTGAAGGCAAAATGTGAACTGCACTGTTTGAATTTAATCACCTGCACCAGGAAGCTTTTAAATGTAAAACCATGTAATAACACTAAGGGGCAGACTTGACACCTCAGCGCAAGCAAACCTAGTCGTAATAACCTGAAAATCTACTGTTAATTTGTACTCTTCTTAGAACAACGTTTTACATTGTTTCAAATGAGAAGGATAGAAAATCCAGGAAAAAACAGCAATAAAAAATACATTTTATTCCCTTTTTCAGTCTCTTGACATATTTAACCCCTTCTGATCTATGTTTTCCTTTAGTTTTACAACTGAATTCTGGACTTAAATACATAAATATCCATATTTAATCAGAAATAAATAAAGTATATTGCATAACTGAATTATGTTAAGAAGTCTAAAACTGATACTGGGTGAAGTTTGATGTTCACTGACGTTTGCACCCTGTGTTCTGTAACAGTTTTCAGGAGGCACAAGCTCTACCATGTTAGTCTGCGTGATGTAAGTCAGCCTCAATCCCTCGGTGCTTCAACACACACACACACAGGTACTGGATTAGCGTGACGTGTGTGTATCTTGAGAGCAGCTGAGCAGCTTTGGAAACACCTTTGGAGCACAGCCAAACGCAGTAGGAAAGCACAGAGCAAGTGGAAGGTAAAGTGCACATCAGATCTGGATCAGAAAGCATTAGCACATAATAGTCAGTATGTATATGAATGTGTCTGAAGTAATAATAGCCATTTAAAACCTGGAGACCAGTACAAGGACTGTCACTTTACACAATGAGCCATTTGATAGTCATTGTAGAGTTCTGCTCTGGAAATGACTGTTAACACAAAGCATGCAGTGCTCCAATTTTCTTCTCATGCAAATTCTCACCTACAGTAGTGCTAAAGTGGAACCTGTATCCATGCAGATAGTTTTGTTTTTGTTTTGCCAGGTTATGAGATGTGTGTCGAAGAATGTTTTAACTGTTTTTTGTCTAGTAGTCCAGGAGGAGATTTTTCTTTAGAGAATTTTATTTTTGCCGTTATATTTTGTGGCTATGGCCAATATGGGGGCAGCAAAAACACGAGTCAACCTTGGTCGGCCATTCAACAGAGAATTGTTAGATTTGAAAGGATTCAAAACCAATCCTGAATTGGTGCTCCTACCACTTTTGTACACAGAGGCTCAAAAATTTAGTAGAAATTAGTTCTAATTAAAACTTTTAAATTGAAAAATGTGCTGCGAGTGAACAAAACATACAATTCCCTTTAAAATTCAATTTAAAACAAGAGTTTGACATTTTGAGAAAATACACTTATATACTTTGGTGCCAAGAGTCAGATGCACTACAGCCAGGAAATAAAGACTGGAAGCGGTGGGAAACAACTAGCATGGGTCCGTTTGTATCATGTTTGTTGAATCCATACACAAATAGAAATGTAAAAACAAATAATTGAGGATTTTGATTTTTTTTCACTTTGAACAGAGCCAAATTCATTCATTTACGTTTTTTGGCGGTGCCATGCAACTACAAGGCTTAAAGTAATAACCAAGTTGGAATTATGTGAGGTTTTCTTATCTTTCCCATTCATCAGGCATTGTGTGAATGCAGCATTAGAGAGTGAGCCAGGCAAGCATATTTCCCAAAATGTTTTAACTATTCCTCTAAATCTAAGAGACAGATATTTTAAAACAAAAGTATATTAGCTAGAAACCACTAGAGGTGAGTGAAAAACGCAGTCAGGTGAAATAATATGAGAATCACCATCCTGTGCATTTATTTAGTTTGTATCAACATTATCACATTCATTTGCTCTAGGTACATGATGTTCAGTAACTGATGGACACCCAAACAGACCAATAGCAGCATAGGCACACACGCGCTCACCTTCTTGGTACCACAAACAGGAGGCTTTTGTCAGTCTACGCAAAAAAAAAAAGAGATACACATGTTTTGCCTCATTCACACTGACCTGAACACACAATGACCATTAACAGAATATCTGCTCTAAAAGTACAGTCAGGCAGTAAGAGCCCATGGTTTTGGTTAAATGAGGGAAAATACTCCTTAGGGGTCTTTAAAAAGTATATTTTTCCAGCATTTTAAAGAGCAGCTTTAATCCATGCCAGCCTTTTTAAAAGACTCTCTGATTCTGCTGGAGAGCCACTTACAGAATGAGAGATGTCAGGAAACAAAAAACAGCCACTTAACCGTGATCTCCCCCTCTGTTTCTGTCGATCTACCTTCATATAACCATGGATACAGTAAGGCATCAGTAACACGCTTCACGCTGTTGTTCCACATGGCTGGTTCTGCAAACCCCACTTGAATTTACAGCATGTACAATAACACACACACAAAAAGCTCCTGAATTTAAGCAGCAGAGAAAGGTTTACATCAACCTGAAATTCAGACGTTTGCCTCGCGGCATTTACTGTATGTGTGTCAGAAACACGCAGATGTGCTCAGTGTCACATTGTGCTCTGTTGTGCAAGTGTTTTAACTGGATTCCTGGGAAAGAAATGCATACAGTAAATAATCACAGTAATCTGACTACATAAATATAATGAGCTACAGTTACTGAAAAGAGTTTATAATGAGCATATTTAAAGGGAAAACACATTCTAAGTGTTATAAATTCAAATATAATACAATAAAACTATGAAAATACAGTTTGTGATTTGGATTAAATTACATTTTTGAGTAAAAAGTAATCCACAAGTTACTTAAAAGAATAGCTCAACATTTTTGGAGAGTTATATAGATACCACTTTCATGTCTGAATGCTAAATATGAAGCTACAGCCAGGAGTTTATTAGCTTAGCTTAGCGTAAAGACTGGAAGGAGGGGGAAACAGTTGGCTTGGCCCCAGCCAGAGGTACATTTTTTTTTAGCAACTCTAAATGTCACATTGTGTCTAGCCTTAATTAGTGGGCGTTAATATGTTTGTAGACGCCGAGCCAGGCGAGCTGTTTCCCCCCTGCTGCTATGCTAAGCTAATCATCCAGGCTTTTTTGTGTGGTACCAATCTTCTCGTCTAACTCTCGGCAAGAAAGCAAAGAAAATGTCAGACTATTCCTTTCAGGTAATAATCTTACGTCACAGAGCTTTAGTAGATTAAAACAGAGGTCTTCTTTATAGTCTACAGATTCACGCAGCTAGTTAACTACTAGGAGATGATCTTTCAAAAGCAAACTGGCTGTCAAAACCCCTGAGAATACAGCCTTAATGAGTCCAAAAATAGATGAAGAATTGAACTGATACATAAACCAGATATCAATACACCGGTTATGTCAAACACTACTGAAATAGTCAATTAACATCTAACATATCTCCGAGGTACTTGGTATATTAATGGCTATATGATTCAAGCCTTAAACCTGTGGTCCACTGAACACAAAACTCACGTAAATACGTGTCAAAATATACCTTATTCATACACATACAGTACAGAAATAGACATTTCCCTTCATAGATACAGTTAACTTAAAAAATATAGTTATAACCATTACAAATATAATTCCTAATTAAATAGGATAAGGTGGTGGTTTCAAGTTTCAAGATTCTACATGTAAGTCACTAACTCCTCCTACACTGGATCTGGAGTGATAAAGTGCTTCAAGTGTCTGTTTTTGGTTACAATTTTTTAACCTACATAGGCTAATTCTACCTGTGAATGGTTTATGGGAGTCTTGGACCTTCTGATGTCTGTGAATCCACACCAGAAGTCTTGAGTTAAATGTCATCCAGTTCCACGTCACTTTCCTTGGGTTTGCGGCGTTTCACCCTGGCCGGCGACCGGCTCCTCTTCTGGCCCGTCCCACCACCAGTGGATCCACCATCAGCCATTTTGGGCACTTCTATGAGGTTTCCAGGGTTTTGTGGGGATTCTGTGTCAATGTCCTCCAAGGAGCCGGGCTGGGACTCTACAGAGGTCCTGGTGAACTGGTGGAGGAGAGCACTCGCTTCCCTTTTGTTCTTGTTCACCTCTTCGTCTTCCCCATCTTCCTCAGGCTTGAACTCCTCATCAGCCCCATCTCCTCCGCCCTCTTTCTCCTCCTCGTCTCCTGTGGCTGCAGCGCCCTCGCGTCCTGATTCGTCCGGACTGGTGTCACTTTGGCGTTTGCTGTCGGTGGATGAGTCTTCGGCGTCGGCCTCCTCTCCCTCCGTCACCCCCTGGCCCTGAGTTTAACAAGACAACAGTAAATTATCTCTGAGCAGTTGTAATTAACTAAATTGGGTACTACTGGGGCAGCTAAGTGTCAGTAATTACAGCTACATGTTAGTTAAACAACGAGCGGAAAAGTACTGTAAATTAGTTGCATTTTATCAGAGCAGGAAGACTGTAGTAAATAAACTGTTTAAAACTCCTCAGGTCAAATAAGATGAGAACACAGATTTGAACAGAAGGGTTTTTACCAACCACTTTGTGACTGACAGTAACAGCAGACGTCCATCAGTGGTAGCACTGTGTTGCTGCCAAACAAAACAGATTTGTTCAGTCTGTCTAATTGGATAGCCAGATTATCTTTTCCCACAGGCTTAGACTTAGTGGTTAGGGCTACAGTAGGTCAGATTCCTTCTACAAGGTACAGTACACTTTAACCTGGCAGTCATGGTCAGGCTCACAGTGGTGTTTTAAAATAGGTGCTGCTCAAATTGGTATTCATAACTAGAATGTAGGCACTTATGTGATCCAACCTACTTTTTATAACGAGTAAATTAACTAAATAAATGTGTTAGAAATTAGAATTTTCTTTGGTTTTTAGTTGGTTTTGGTCATCGTCTAACAGTTATGATGATATTTTATTCACCAAAAACTAATTTTTGAGATTTGGGAACACAGCAACATAATCCATCAGGCCAGTTTTATTTGGAGGTAAAATTAGAAGTAAGCACATAATCATATTATCAATCATTAGCTCATGAGCTCTATAAATGTCCTTATATCTGCTTACAGATACATTATAATTATAATTAAGAGTTCAAATGCTAATTAGAGAAGGTTAAACTACAGCAAGTACTACAGGTCAAAGTTGTGTAAAACTCTGATCATGTTTGTTACCACTTCTAACTTTAGCAATGTGACTTAGTTCCCAGATAAAGGTGATTAAAGACCCAAGTTAGTCATTGTAATAATACTATCCTTTAAGATTGTGTTGTCGTGTGCCTGGACTAATATTTTTACTGGTATTTTGATTCAGTTTTGGTTGTTTGAAAGTCTCTCAGAATAATTACTGAATGAACTCCTGGCTCCTACCTGAGTTGAGGGTCTTTCCTCCTCCGACACCTCCCTTTCCTGCTCTTCACTCGCTTCCCCCTCTCCGCTGCCATCATCCCCGTCATCTTCATCCTCCGCCTCAGCCGAAGCGCTGTCGTTTCCCTCCACTGGCGTGGATTCTTCATTCGTCGTGTCTTTTGTAGCACTGTCGTCCTCCGTTTCCCCGGACGCCTCTGCTCCGCTTTCCTTGCTGGTTGTTTCTTCTTCTTCCTCAGGTTTAAAGTCACACACCTCACACTCTTCCGCCTCTGCCTCCTCCTCACCCTCGCCATTTTCAGTGGTGTCTTCTTCACCTGCCGTTGCATCCTTTACTGTCTCTTTGTCACTCTCCTCTTCCTCTTCCCCAGTTCCTGTCTCTCCCTCATTGCCCTCTGTCTCCACTTCCTCCTCTGCACTCTCCCCCTCTTCCTCCCCTGTTCTCTCTTCATCTTCTGCTGTCTCATCCTCACCTGTGTTGTTGCTAGTTTCCCCCTCTCCTTCTTCTCCCTCTTCTGCTTTGTCACTCTCCTCCTCATTTTTGCCACACTGGCATTGGCATTGTGCCTCCTCTTCATCCTCTCCATTATCTGTTGTCTCCTCTTCCCCAGCTTCCTCTCCACCTGTCTCCTCCTCTTCCCCAGCTTCCTCTCCACCTGTCTCCTCCTCTTCCCCAGCTTCCTCTCCACCTGTCTCTTCCTCTTCTTGTTCCTCATCACTAACCTCTTTTTCCTCCTCTGCCTCCTTCTCTTCTCCTTCCTCACCCCCGTCTTCTTTTTCCTCTATTTCCTCATCTTCCTCTGGGATTGTCTCCTCTAAAACAACAGTAGCTTTGATATCCTCTTTAGTTTCATCCTCCTCCTCTTCTTCGTGCAATACCTCTAAATTCCGCTCCTCCTGGTCTATGACAATGCTATCAACTTCTTCCACTGCAGGTGGTGGGACGGCTGGAGGCAGTGGGCTTTTCTTCAACTGCAGTATCTTAAGGAGGTCAAACTCTATCATCATTGGTGCTTCGGCTGCCAGTGGGTTCGCTTTGAGAGGCCGGGCGGCCATTTTCTTGCGGACACATGCATCACAGGGGCAGTACTCGTCTTCGCTTCGCTGGTCGCTGAACTCACCAGTAAGCTCTTCATCGCTGAGGGTGTCAGCAGTTTTAACTGACTGGTTCTTCATGACCTGAAAAATAAATCAAACATTATCTTTCTGCCTTTCAAGCAGCAGTATGTTGTTGGATGTAAACAGGATTTGTGGTGGAATTACCTTCAATATTCGACGTCTTCTGTCTGTCATGGTGGACTCCCTGGAGAGGTTCCCTCCATGCGGCGGCCGAGGTGACCTCCCCCCTTTGCCGGCACGACTCTGAATCTTCCTTATCTCGCGTTCGATGCTGCTCTGGATGCGTCGGCTCACCTCGTCCCTCAGCTCGGAGATCATGGTGTCTAGGATGAGGCTGTCGTCCAGGTCCCAACGAACTTTGAACTCCGCCATGGCGTTAATGTAGTGGTTCATGAACTGTTTCTCCAACTTCTTCAGAAGGTGCAGAATCCACACCGGATCGGGGTCTTGGGATTGTTTTTTTGACAAGGGTGCTCGCAGGACAGTCGGGGGCGTGCTTGAGCTGGAGTCCTCCATCGTCTCACGCTCATTATCAGTGGGGGATTTAGAGCTGTCGTTAGCATCTGATGATGAAGGGTTCTCAGTGGCTTTTGGGCTGTCCAGACTTGGAGGGACTGAACTTTGTTCTTCACTCCGTTCCGGTTCCTGTGCTGTGTCTGTCTCCTCTTTTTCCTCAACTTCCTCGTTTCCGGCCTCTGCATTTTCTTCCTCTTCCTCTTCTGCAACCTTCTCCGCTTCCTTATCCTCATTTAAAACCTCCTCTTCATTTGTTGTTATGTTTTGCTTTGTTTCATCTCCAGCACCATTTCCATTCTCCTTTCCTGATCCGCCTGAGCCACTGCTCATATCCACCCCGGAGGATGACCTCGGTGGAGTCACCTGCTCCCTACCAACTTCCCCGGCCTGCTTGACGTCAATGTCCTTGGGGTCAGTGAGCCAGAGGGATTGAAGGATAGCCATAATGTCCTCATACCGCTGGTTGCGGTCCTTCTGTTGGTCACAGCTGGGGTTCACTGCAGGCTCAATGAGCTGAAGCTGGGCCAAACAGTCCAAGAACCCCCTGGCTGATGTGCTCAGTCTACGACCATAAACTGGAGACACCTGCAGAAGACAGCAGAAAATACAGATTATGTTGCATACAGAACTTGTGCTCACATTCATAAAATCCATTCTATATCATTCTAAATTAGGCATTCTTGAAGAGCTGGTTTTCATTGTGGGGTTGTTAAATAAACCTAATCTTAAAGTTGATTAAATAATTAACAATAAATAATTTTGCAAATAGTTGTTAGCTACAGCGTTAATAGTTTCATCATCAAGCCACAGAAAGGAAAGCCTTAACCTTGATATCTTTTTGGGGGTTATTCCATAAACTAAAACAGAATGGGACAGGTTTCGTCACATCAACACATAGACAAAAAGTTATTTACATAAAGTAATTGGCTTACCTCAGGCATGCTCTGACATCGACCCGTAGAAGAGCTCAGAAGAACTTTCATCACTGCAGCTGAAGAATGCCAGTTCCTGGGCACAGACTCACCACTCAACAACAGAGTGTTGTTACGAGAAGAAGTCCCCACTGCATCACCTGGAGCTGGATCTGAACTCTTCTCCTTCTCTGCCACTTCACATTCAGCTTCCTCCTCTTTCTCTTTCTCCTCTTCCTCTTCAGCCTCAACTTCCTCCTTGTTGTCCACTTTTTCTTCTTCAGGACTCTCCTCCTTTGCTGCTTCTTCTCCAGGTTTCTCTTCTGCTGCCTTCTCCTGCTCTTCTTCTTCCTGATGCGACTCGTCGCCAAATTCAAGCATGCTGCTGTTAGTGGGAATGCTCCGCAGCCAGTCACTGACAACCTCATTGGGGGAAGCGTTGGGCAGACAGGCAGGTGTCAGTTCCAGCTCCTCCTGAACCACCTGGTTCCTGCTTCTCTGACACCTCGCACTTTTCTCACTCCTTGGCTTGTCACTGGTTTTGCTCGCCTTCGACTGTCGGCTGTGTGGACGTGCAGCAGCCATGATTTCCTTCAGCAGGTCAGCAGCGGACAGAGAGTGAGACAGAAGGCTCTCACTACATGTCTCCCCTTTGCTCCCTGGTCTGGAGTTTTGTGAGGGACAAGGGCTTGAGGATTTAATAGGTGTTTCTTTCTTTTGAGAATGGGATGTTTTGACACTGCTACTGGATTTGGCCTTATGACATTTGACTGGATTCAAACAGTTTGAGTGAGCCGAAGCTGCTGACTCAGGCCTGAGGCAACAGGGACCCTTGGAGTGCACACTGGCCGCATCGTTGTCTGCAGGATCTTCTTTCCCTTCGGCCTCACTAGCTGGCCTACTAACAGCCTGGTTTTCAGCGTCATTATGTGCTGAATCTCCAGCACTTGTTTTTGCTACATTGGCATTTTTAACGCTAGAACATGCAGGGGATTTGCAACGAATTTTAGCACTTGCTGATGACATTGCAGATGAGGTCCTGTTGTTGGGGGCATCTAAATTATGAGCTTTTACTGTTGAAGCAGACTTCACACTTGTTGTTTCAAGGTCATCTTCTACTTTGGTTGTGCTGGTACGGGCATGTTTCTCTTTAGGCTTAATGCCAAGCATTTGAGATTCTGATTTGACGCTATACTTACAAGAAGACTTGTGAGACCTGTTGCTTTTGGCTGAACATGCACTGGCTGCTCTTAGTGATTTTTGCTCTGCACCTTCTTCACCTTTATCTTCACTTTGCCCTGGTGTTTCAATAGTGGGGATATCGACTGCTGGAGGATTGTGAGACAAAGTGCTTTTACTGCCATTTTTGTTGGACTTTTGAGACTTAGTGGACCCTGTTTCCTCCACATCTTCCTTCATGGCAGACTGCTCTGTGCGACTGGGAGCTTTAGGAGTTGCCGTCTTCACTCTGCTCTTACTCTCAGTGTTTATGTGAAAAGAAGCACTGGACCTGCCACTGTCTGAGTCAGCTGTTTCTTGATCTTCTGGCAGCCCAAGAGAGACGGACCCTGAAGAGTTTCGACTCAGTGGTTGCTCAGTGCCCCCTGATTCTCTTCTCGATCTTTTGGTTGAGGACGACAGTACGCTAGCAGCCCGCTCGGAAGCCTCCTCATTCTTCAGCTCCTCATTGTTGTCCTTGTTCTCCATCTCCTTATCTTCCACCTCCTTACCCTCCACCTCCTTTTCTTTTTTTGCTGAAGCTGCTCCACAGCGACATTTGGATCTGCAGGATTTAGCAGAGGTTGTTGAGCGAACTGACAAGGCACTGGCCCCTCTTGTGTCTGGACCAGGCAACAACTGTTGCACAGGGGCTTGAGGGCTTCTAGGGGATGTAGTTGGAGCTTTGGGTGAGTGGGTCCGTGGGGAACGTGTTGTCCTGGGTGAGAGCATTTGGCCATTAGATTGTTCAGAAGATTTACTTTTTGGTGCATTGTCTTCTACAACCTTTTCATCTACATCTACTGTTTCAGTAACAGTAATATCAGCTGCTCCATTATGATTCGACTTATGTGATGAAGCAGATTTCCCTGATTTAGCCGATGCAGCGCTCGGTGCTCTCTCTGTTGTCTCATTTCCTTCCTCATCAACCACTTCTGGTGTTTTAATGGTGACAATATTTGGATTTGGTGACACAGATTTTAGATTCTTGTTGGAATTCGACTTGTGAGAAGTACTGGACCTCACTGAAGACTTTGACTTGACAGACATAGCACTAGCCACCCGCTCTTGATTTTGCTTCTCTTCTTCATTTGTCTCAATAGAAGGAACATTGGCATCATTTGGATTTGGAGATGCAGCCGTGCGGTTTGACTTCTGAGACTTGGAGGACTTGGCAGAGATGTGTGATTTCCCCGACATGGCACTGGGGATTCTGTCCTCTGTCTCTGCTGTGTCTTTGGTTGGAGAAGCCACTCTTGAACTTGCTTCACAATTTGTGTGGTGAGACTTTGCAGAGGAAGCTGATTTACCAGATAAAGCACTGGCAGCCCTGTCCTCAGCTTTTTCACCGTCTCCTGTGTCCAAACTTGCCCCTGTGTTCTCATTATAGTTGGATTTATGAGATTTAGAGGACCTTGCACTGGCTGCCCTCTCTTCATTTTCCAATTTAGCAGACATTACACTTTCTGGCCTCTCCTGTGTTTCCTCTTCTACCATCTCATTTTCTTTTTCCTCAGCTACCATTGAGCTTGGAGATGCCGGGATTTCATCCCCATTATTTTTAGGCTTGCATGACTTTGAAGACTTAACAGACATGTCAGATTTAACTGATCTGCCAGACAATTGACTTGCTGCCCTTTTTTCACAATCTCCTCCAGTTTCTGATCTGGGAGAAAGTGACCTTTCCGAAGCTTTGGTGAACTTATGGGATTTATTAGACCTGGCAGACAGATGGGACTTGGCTGACATGGCACTTGCTGCTCTCTCCTCTGTCTCCATTCCTTCTTCCTGTTCCGTTGCTTCAATAACAGGTTCATCAGCTGCCTTATCACCTGGGGATACTGCTCTCGGACAGTGACTGCAGGTGGACCTGTGAGATGTGCCGGACTTTGCTGACACATTTGATTTAGTTGATTTAGCTGATTTAGCAGAAAGGACGCTATCGGGTCTTTCGGCCATGCCAGGCTTGTCAGAAGCATTAGACTTAACAGAAAGCGCACTGGGAGTTCTTTCGTTTGTGTCAACTTCTTCCACAGCTGTATTGTCAGTTGGGGAGGCAACCTTATTACTTAACTTGACTGAAGCACTGGTCTTTGAAGAAGTACCAGATTTGGCTGACAAGGAGCTAAGTGGTCTGTCTGCAGCGTTCTCTCCCTCTGCTTCCTCTTTGGCCTCAGCTGTGCCGCTGCAGTTGGCCTTGTGAGACTTGCTGGACTTGGCAGACAGGTTGGACTGAGCCGACAGGGCACTGGGGCTTCTCTCCTCCTCTTTTTCTGCTGCAACACCAGTGCTGCCATTACAGCCAGACTTGTGTGATCTATTGGACCTGCGGCTTGAGGCTGAGGTGGCACTTGGAGCCCTTTCTTCCTCTTTTCCTGTTCCCTCAGGATTGGAAGTAGTGGACATGGCACTAGATGCTCTGCCCTCCAGGACATTTGATATTGCAGAGAAGCGCCCATGGTTGGTGAGGTTGGTCCTGTTGGATTGTGTTGACCCAGCTGAAACATCTGAGCCATCATCATCATCACTGCCATCATTGGCAATCTCTTGGCTGGAGAGAGGTGTGGCAGGCTTTGGGGAGGCTCGGTGGGAATGATGGGACCTCTGTGATGCTCTACTACTGGAAACAGAGTTGACCCCATGTTTGCAGCCTCCACAATTATGACATGCACTGGATGCCCTTGACTGCCGAGAGTCTGCCGAAAGTCCTGTGTGACCAGACAAGCCACTAACAACCCTCTTTAGCTCTTCATCCTCATCATCTGCAGCTTCCTCTGAGGTAGGGATATTGACTTTGCTGGACCTGCAAGATGCTCTGCTCATCTTGGATCGAGTTCCTAGCTCCATCTCCTCTGCTTCAGCTGTTGAATGTGGGGTGGTTGCTCCATAGTGGCAAGAAGAGGCTGCAGATACTGCCCTACTTCCTCTCTCTTCCCCATCCTCATGCTTGTTGTGTTCAGTAGAGTGGATGGAACTGGAAGAGATGTTGCTTTTTGGTTTATCATTCAGGTGAGCTGGGGATTGGGATGGTTCAATGCTATGACAGCATTGTGAGGCGCTGGGTGGCAGGTCATCATCATCCTCGTCTTCTCTCAGCGATTGGAGAACATGTGAGGAGCTGCTGACTGCAGACAGCGGACGCAACCCGTCATCCTCCACCAAAAGCTCATCCTCTAATGACTTCTGGCTAAGTGGTCGTAGGTTGCTATCCACTGCAAGTACTTCACTGCGGCTGCAGCATCGGCTCACCCTGTGCACCTTTACATGGGTGTCTCCATCCTTCTCCACCTCGACTCTGCGCTCAACCTGCTCCGTCACACACATGTCCTCCTGGAGCAGTTGGCTCTGCTCTGAACCGGAACCTCCTCCACAGTTGGAGAGTCGTGCTCGACAGCGCACCACCCTCCTAGAATTACATGATGAGGAAGAGCTAGAAGAGTGTGTATGTCTCATCATAGTGTGACTGGATGTATGTGGGGGAGGGACAGGAGGCTTTTTGTGGCTGTGTGCTGGGTTTTCCCATAAGTCGTACTGCTGCTCCTGTCTCTGGTAGCAGCAGGGGCAGTGATTCACTGCTGAAACATGTGGCAGTGGTTGGCTGCAATAATCCACACCCTCTGGCTCGAAGGTTGTGGAATCGGGGTCAGAGCAGCTCTCTGATTGACCCTGCTGCAGGTAATGGGGCTGGGCCTGGCTCAGGGGGCAAGATTCATTGCTCAGAGATGGGGATTTTTTTATTTGTGTGGACCACTGCAGGGTTTCCTCATTGTGTAGGCGAAAACGCACCCTCATCTCTACTGAGAGGCTGCCATCTTTATTGACCACGACACGCTTTTCAATGTCTTCGTTCATAATACCCGGTCTAGCCTGGGAATAGGCGCTGATACCATTGCTATATGACTTCTCTGAAGACAAGGAGAAACGGGCAGAGCGGTTTGAGGAGTCTGAACGAGGGTGGATGATGCTTTTCTTGGTTTCCAGACCAAAGTTAACTGAATAGAGAACGAAAAAAGCAAATGTTAGTGTAACCACTATTTAACTTTTCTTACACCTTTAAGTACTTTAGGATCGTTGTTGATTTAAGGGTTTGTGTATTCGGTAGTTACCCACCCAATAGTGTATGGTTAAATACTTTTGAGAAGACAAAACAACTCACCATTTTTCTTGCTTTCATGCCCTTCGCTGTACTCGCTGGCTCTGGACTGAGCTCCATGAGGTGGGGATCTTGCTCCTTGAGTAGCAGGAGATCGGGCCCCATTTCCAGGAGTCCTGGGGCCAAGACCAGGGGACCTGCTGCCCAGACCAGGCAGTTTTTCTTCTGAGCTCTTCCTGATGAAGTTTACCAGCATTGGGCTGAAGGCTTCCCGGCCAACACACACCAACACACCTGGACAAGTTATTAAGCTTTGCACGCTGTCAATCTGGAAACAAATACGCACAGTGTCAGGATTTTCCTTTACACGGGGTGTTATCTGCAATACAAATCATGACCATGCATTCATAACAAACCACATCTTACCCTGCGTCCCTCTGCAGTGTAGAGTTTGCGGACATGAAACTGCATCACCTCAGAAACCTCATCAAGAAAGGCCCTCAAGCTCCTGGTCGACCTCCTGCCTAGCACGATGCTCCTCCTCATTCCTGGCTCAGTGTTCTTCACCAGCAGGATCCGTCGCTGCCTGTAAGACAGATGGCCGGGCGGTGTTGCTGACAAGGTTTCAGGCCGGTGCGGCTTCTGGCTGTGATGGGACCAGATGCCTGGGCGTTTGCTGGCAAGCTCCATGTTGACTGGCTTAGCATGCCGCCGGTCAGAGCAGAGGTAGCAGCCACCGTCCTGGAGCTGCTCCAGGTGTTTGATGGCGTGGGTGCCACGGGGAGTGGTCACAGTCCGCACACCAAATGGCAGGGGCACCTGTATGTGGACACATATATGCACACTTACTTTGTATACAGTGCATATCTGTATCTATCTATTACGGTGGCCGACAAGGGCAAACGCGCCGCAAACAGCAAAACGCTGAAAACACGGGAATTATGCAAATCCAAAAACACACAAACACATAAAACAAATCCAACAGAAAAATGCAGCAACAGAAAAATGCTGCTATCACAGAAAAGAAGCAGAAGCAAGAACTTACAAACCCACAAAACAAATGCAAAAGAAAAAATGCTGCAAATTCGCTCGACAAAACAAAAGTGCGCCAGGCAACTAGGGGAACCCGACCTGAGGGATGGACCAGTCCTATGGGACCAGACCCGAAAGACATGAAGAAGAAGAAGAAGAAGAAGAAGAAGAAGAAGACGAAGAAGAAGAAAGTAGTTTTGGAGAGCAGAGTAAAAAGGTACGTTTTCCTTTATGTCTTTTTTAAACACTTGGCTGTAATCTTTTATATTATTATAATATTATATTATAATAAAAATATAATTATAATATTAAAATTATATTATAATATTATATAATATAATTATAATATTATAATTATATTATATTCTTTATAATAATATTAAATAATATTAAATTAATAATATAAAAGATTACGGCCAAGTGTTTAAAAAAGACATAAAGGAAAACGTACCTTCTTACTCTGCTCTCCAAAACTACTTTCTTCTTCTTCGTCTTCTTCATGTCTTTCGGGTCTGGTCCCACAGGACTGGTCCATCCCTCAGGTCGGGTTCCCCTAGTGGCCTGGCGTACTTCCGTTTTGTCGAGCGAATTTGTAGCACTTTTTCTTTTGCAGTTGTTTTGGGTTTGTAAGTTTTTGCTTCTGCTTTGTTTCTGTAATTGCAGCATTTTTTTGTTGCTGCGTTTTTCTGTTGGATTTGTTTTATGTGTTTGTGTGTTTCTGGATTTGCATCATTCCTGTGTTTGCAGCGTTTTGCCGTTTGCGGCGCGTTTGCCCTTGTCGGCCACCGTAGTCTATTGTCTCCAGATCAAATACTGAGAACAAAATTTAAGGAAGTGAGCTAATGCTGTTGCCAGGTTAAAAAGAATAAAGTGCAGTACAGCTGCATTTACCCAGCCAGCTTCAAACGATATCTCTATCACATCTCCGAGAGCTGTCACACTAACCTTTTGGGAAAGGTCGTCCAGCAGGGCATCAAAGCATTTGAAGCTGCGCTTGTGGACTGCCATCCTGATGCCCCCGAACTGGCTGTCGCCGCTTTTGTAGAAGGTGATCCGCTTGGCCGGGGTGGCTGTGGTCACATGGGCGAGGCGTGAGTTGGAGAGATGCGGCAGGGGGAGGTGTGAGGCATGTTTAGATGGGGGCCGGGGGTCCCACATCCCTGCCTGAACTGAATGCATGCTGCGATCTCACACACACCTGAGGGATACAAACAAACATGCAGCACAGAATTTGAAGGAGTTGTTGCGTATGTTCACATTAACACTGTACTTGAGTGGTTTATCAACTCACTGCCTTAAACTACACACACGTGCACACACGCAGGACTACAGAGGAATTTGATTGCAGTTCTCATCACCACGACAGAAGAGTACTTCGAATGCAAATGGTTTTTCATTATATCATCTTTTTAATGTCTTACATTTGCTTTTGTTCTTCTGTTCACCTACTTTCTAACCACACTCACAAGGTCACAACTCCTAATCAGGGTGTTTGACTAAGGACTGAGGACCGGACATCCACTAAAAGGACTACCTAGTTACATATATAATTTGGCTACAACAGGGGAAGCGTTTTGTACAATGTCATTTTGCAAATCTAACCAATAAGCTTCCAGGTAAAAGGTTTGTTACCTGATAAACCTTTTTCCTGCATTCTTTCTTGCTTTAAATAGCCAACGTGCCTAAAAGTTGACAGATTTCCTAAAGATTCCTGATGATTCTCATGCTCTTAACATGTTCTGTGCAAGCATCTTTCACCTCTAAGTTATACATATCAAAAGACATCTATCTTAATTCGGCTGAAATAGAAGATCTTGTCAATTTTTGGACAAAAAACAAAGTCACATAATGTAAATTGACATAATCAAATGCAGCTACATGCACATCTACCGTATATAGGTGTTAAAGACAGAGCTTCCCACAGAATGCTATATTTAGTGGAGCCTAGCACACATCTAGAAATCCTATTTGGAACGGACATAAAAAGTTTGTCCTGCTTCTGAACAGCCAAGATAAACCTGCTTGCATAATAAACGCTACGTAATTCACACTGTTAACCTCACCATTTACTGATTGATAGAGCAAAACAAAACATGTATACTTTTCTAACTGGTTCTGATGGGGTTTACAGATCAGAGTGCATTTGGATAATTGTATATTCACACATGCTATCAGAGCTTGAAGCTTAGATTTTAAATTGCAAACTGCAATATGAACAGACCGAATCAGTACAGGAGACTACAGCTATAAGCTCAAGATCACATCACTCTTATATTCAATAGAATATTAACGTTAATCATGAGTAGGGTGACTTTCAGTAACCTATGAAAAAAGGTGAATGTTATCAGCAGGCTTAGCAGGCTTTTAAGTCCCATGAGGCTAGACTTCAGGCCAAATCACTGCTCTTAGCTGTAGGCATTCCCAACGTGACGCACTGCCTCTTAATCCCTCTTCAGCTCTGTATCTCTTAACAACTTAAAATATATATATATATATATATATATATAAACACCTAAAATATCCCCATGCATTTGTTTTTGTATGCAGCAGTAAAACCGAATGCTCAACTGCATGTTTTTTTTTTAAATAAGCCATGGCAGCAACTGAATGGTTTCCAAGGTGACACAGCACAAACAAATAGTTCCCGAAGCTCATTCTGACTAGCTTCGAGATAATCTGTTCAAATTTTACATTTGATCTGAGTGACGAGGTTGCCCGGAAGAGCTTGTTAAAGAGGACAGATGAAGCTTGTTTTGAAATCATCACAAAAGTCGAAAAAGAGATAAAGGAGAATATAATTAGCTCTTGGGCTAAAAATAGGCCTGTACTTTTACATTTAGAATTTGAAAGAGCTGCGCAGGTTAAGAACTCGGCTTTCAGTTATTATCCAAGCTGACGCCTGAATACAAACCTGAAAACATTTCAAAGAGAGACTCGTTATTATTAGCCCAGTTAACACTCTTCTTAAGATTTAAGAGACAATAAATGACACAAAACACCACTGAACAGACATTGAAAGACATTTTAACAAGGCATTATATAATGAGCCACATCCACTAGCCCTTTGAGCTTAAGAGCAAGAACTTTTTAAGATGAAAAACAGGAAAAATAATGAATAGGTCATAACAAATGATAGCAGTATAACTGTAGAACCCCTTTTACCACTATAAATGAACTGTAATATCACAATAGATTATTTTACCACTAAGCAATCGTCACTATATATTAACTAGAGACCTTTCTTTATAACTTTAATGTCAACTAAAGAACAATTTGTTCACCAATTTGCCCAATAACATGTTTATATATTTATATATTTAGTATGTTTTTAATAGTGTGCTGTGCAATGTGTAGTGTATGTACTTTTGCTGTACTTTGGAAGAAGCCAATGACAGATTGACTATTGTTCATCTCAGTGGAAATCAATGAATTTAAGACTAAGTTAAATACACCATTAATATACCAGATTATCTATTAGCTACATTACTCACATATTCAGGAAACATGGTCCAATAAGATGTGAAAAAGCCGGAGGGGAATCTGTTCCTGTCCGTGCAGGGTCTGACCGGTCCAGTCAGACCAGGAGTTCGCACTGTGTGTCTGAATGTGTGTATGTGTGTGTGTGTGTGTGTGTGTGTGTGTTGCCTATCTCTGCAGCTTGAGTCATACACTGAGATGTACAGCAGAGCCCCTGGTTCCACAGCTCTCAGGGCAAAATGGCAGTCGGTAATCGGGCGCAGGGGGGGAGGGAGGGGAGGAGGGCGGATCGGGGGAGAGGAGAAATGAGGAGAGAGGAGAAGACAGGAGGGGAGGGGGGGCCTAAGGATAGAACCAAAAGCCTGCTTAAGCACCTGTGTGTGTGTCTGTGTGTGTGTGTGTGTGGGGAGAAGGAGGGGGGTTGCTATGGTGAGGCCAAGATGGCGCTGAGACAAGTGATGTTCTTTTGCGCGCTGCACCTGACCTGGAGAGCACATGCTAATTTGCTATTTTGATTGCAATTAGAATTTTTTTTATTGTAATCACAGACAAACATGTGGGAAGATAATTTGGAAAAATATTAGCTACAATGTTCTTTTTAAGTTATCTTAGTGAAGGTAGATGAAGAAAAAGGTTCATTTGCATTTTGATCATTTTTAGATATTAAATTCTCATATATACATCTCAGTGTCAAGGTGGCCTCTAGTGGTCTGTTTGTACAGTCTATAATGGTGTGTGTGTGTGTGTGTGTGTGTGTGTGTGTGTGTGTGTGTGTGAAAAAGGTGTGGGAGGATAGCCATCTAAAGTGCACAAACGCTCTACTTTGAAATCAGAGATCTTAGGTTTTCAGCACATATTCCTCCCCTCTTTTCTCTCGGTCTCCTTCTGTTTATCTCTCTCTGTGTCTCACAGATGCACAGGGCAGTAGTCGGAGGGGATTGTAATTACGGACAATCTGTCTGACAGCGGGGTGCCTCCTGTTTAGAAATCACCGAAAACACCAACTGCTCCTATTGAACTGCGTCATGTCAAACTAGTTATCATCACCGGAGGAGGGGTGGAAAAATCGATGATGAGCAACTCATGACTGTTGGTCATAACAGCGTCATTATTATGAGCAAAATCCATTTTACACTTCACATTTGACCTGTTTTGGCCTCTAGTTTGTTTACTTGTTTGAGCCTGCTCTTCAGTGAGTGAGAAGCTATACTTGGGTATAATGTTGTAAATCTAGCTGTGTAGATGTTGTGTAATGTAACTTGTGGACAGAGTCAAAGTGGCGACACATGGTAAAGGTGTAAACTGGTCTCACCCTGACAGGTGCAGGAAAACTGGAGGGACCTGAGATGAGCTGTAATCAGGCAGTAAGTGAATACACCTCAATATGTGTGTAGGGTCTTTAAATAAATGTAGTGGAATGGATGTTAGATGTAGCTCAAGATTGTGCTTATACCTGCATTAACTGATTTCTGTCCAGTTGGGGGCAGCAACAGGCTGTGAACACTGAAATATTATGATCTTATAAAGTTGATATGGTGAACTTGTTATCTGTGGCAGACCCGGAGCACCATTAGCATTCATTTGGAGTAAAGTTCCTGAATACCTGGTGAGTGTGAGTGTAATATTCACTCAACTTTAAGCTGTTTTTGATCTCCATCGGCCCCTGAGGGGAAATGGCTCCGTGGTATCCCTGACTGATGCTGTGCTCTGCTCTTCATCAGTTAGTCCTCACCTTTCTCTTCTTCTAACTTCGCTAACCTTACCAATAGGAAGCATCGCTAACTAGATAGCTCCTTAGCTGCTGAATGCTCCACTATGTTCATCAGCTAGTTGCTAACTTGTGCCTGCTGTTTGCTGCTGGGCATCTACAGTAAGTGACTGATGAGAGCCGTGGGAGTGAACCAAAACAGTAAAGTTCGGGGCCATAAAACCAAAACAATGAACTAAAATATGCAAAACACTCTCAGCGAAACACGGCTCATCACCTAACCCAACCTTCAGATGCAAGTATTAATTTGATCCATTGTTAATAATAACATATTCATCAGAGTAGCTTTAAGTGCAGTACTTGAACTCTAAGCACACTGTTAATATGCCGTGTATGAAAGCTGGATTATTCAATTTATGAGAAAAACATTTTGCTCTCAGTTTAGATTCTGAAAAAAATAATAATTCTGGTGTCTCTCAAGGTTTTTTTCTCTAAACGAATCTAAAAAACAATTTACTTTTAAAAGAAACAACTTGAATGACACATTTTTGAGGACTGTTATTATGAAATTCTAAACTTTTTCATTCAATCAGAACAATATCTCATGCAGCTGTTAAGGGACATCGTACTGCAACATTGAGGCGCTTTAACATAAAGTTTTAACAACAACCAAACCAAAAATCGACAATATCATTACATCATTTAGATTTACGTAACTCCTTATTTCATCTGTATCTGCCTCACAGCTTTAATGAGAGACAGAGAAGAAGTAGGTGGGCCTCAGGGAATTCTGGGTAGACAGGATGTCAGGGATGAGTAGTTCCTGTGCTGGCAGTCAAAGTGAAGCATCAGGCAGCCGCTCTCTGGAAAACTGCAGGTGCTAATGGGTATTCCTTGTGGGTAAATCAAAGGAAATCACCACCTCTGCATTGTAGCTGTAGCTGGCGTTACACAACAGCACAGACACACTCCCTCCTGCAGTAATTTAAGAACCAACACTCGGGAGTTTCTCACCTTTCTTCTTCCTAAAATGAAGAAGAAACTAACTGAAGTTGTCTCAGTGCTGGAACATTAATTGGTTCAGTCAGCAGAAGAAAGCAAAGGAGAGATTATATGAGATGTGGCCTACTTCTGGAGGTCCACTCAGTCCTCTCTATACCTCAATCCCTCCTGCTCTCTCTCTCATCCCATTAACAGGTGTGTGTGTGTGTGTGTGTGTGTGTGTGTGTGTGTGTGTGAGTGCTGATCCTACAACTGGATCCAGACACACACACACACACACACACACACACACACACACAGAGAAAACATGCTTTATGTAAATAGTTATGAATAGAGTTATAAAATGACACCATACATGAACACCGTGCACGCACAGGTACGCACAGACACCCACTGTGGAGCACAGTTTGCGGGTAGAGAACATCAGTCTTACCGGTATGGACGCATACAGCCTGCAGCGATGGGAGATCAATGGCCGATTATTGATCAGTGGCCGATTATTGATCCAAATGCAGATGGTGAGATGTTAAAGTGGAGTCACGACCTGCAGTGTGTCCGGACTCCTCCTTCAGACACATCGGCCGCGCGTTCAGTTTCTGCCGGAGATCGCACATACGAGGCGCGTGTTCAGACGTGCGTCAAGTCAGCGGCGTCAACAGCGGAAGTACACTGGTGTACACTTTCAAATTAATGCGTGGTTTCAGTTTGTAACGGATATATTGGCGTAATATTGACAACCTGCCAAACCATCAACACCACCTCTCAGTGTGTGAGGGTTTTTTTGTGTCACATTTAATGCTTGAATATGGTATTTGCTCTCAATTAGAATTATATTTCTTATATGGGAGATTGTCTATAAAGAATCTAATGGAGGGGGAATTCAAATAATGGGACACCATCAATTTTTAAAGATAATAAGATGTGAAAAAGTGCCCAAAGGTTAAAAAAAAAAAAAAAAGTTAAAGAAAAAGAAGTTTACTTACATTACTTGAGTGAGTGCACTACATACTGATGTATATATCTATTCTGTAACAAACCCTTGCAGTATTAAGTTTTCTAATGTGTTAGATACTAGCAATCAAACTCAGAAGAATAAGCCTGAATATTAGGCTCATAATCTCCAAAAAAATATACTTTTTCATTCAGCAAATCCAGACTATTGACCCTAAAGCTGGGTAAAATACTGGGTACTGTATAGTAATCTCAGTATTAAATGTGGGAGGGAGAATGATTGGCGTAATCATTTATGGAAACATTTATCCTATGGTTAAATCCACATTTGCTTTATTATTTATTATGTAAATTATCTTCAATTTAGCAGCTCTAACATAGAAATGTATTTTCATGAGCTATTGTTCATCACCTAGTCTGTTTTATGTGCAACATTTTTGTTTTTTGTTGCATAAAATAATTAAAACATGACAATTAATTTGATTAATACGCAATAACTTTAGAGATAGTGTTACAAAGGTGACATAGACTCTTGGTTATTCAGCTAATAAAACTTTTATTTTACATTCACGACCGGAAATGGCGTACTGTTGATGTGGCTAACATGACATAATCCCAATCCCTTATTTTTTCATTAGAAACCCCTCTGTCCTCCAAATAAAGAGACATAAAGAGGAGGAGAAGAAAGGCAGAGGAAGAGAGGAGCATAAAGGAGGAGGAGTGGAGAGAAGGAGAGGAAGAAGAGGAGGAAGAGGAGGAGTGGGATTCATGTTAAAGAGGATTAGACCTGCCTGAGCCATCTGTGGCCGCAGACTAACAACCCTAGGTACAGGACAGATCCGTCAGCAGCTCCGGTGTTCAACAACAAACCAATTGTAACTGAAACAGTTTCAGTTTTAGATGAAACCGGCTGCTCTCTCTACCTCTGACAGCCTCTGTTAATCACATTGTAATAAACTGCCAATCAAATCGGAAACAACAGGTGTCAGTCGACCTAATTAGGATAATAACGTTATTATTAAACATATTTTGTACAAAATTATTTAATTAAATATGGTATTATACTTTATTTATTTTAACTTTCCTAAGACACTAAGTAGAAATAAAAATATTCCTTAAATAAAATAAAATATGTATCCGGTCATTCCATCAGCTGCTACCACGTCGTACGTGTATGTGACGTAACCACGTTCACGCCCGCCCCGCCTACGCCACCGCGTCCGTCTCCCACGGCAACCAAGCGCACTTGTGTCGCTTATCAAGGATGGATTCCCTTACAGGGAGTGAGATGGCACAGATAGCGAGACAGCAGGTAGGCGGGCATCCAATTAACAGCTGGAATTCAGATTGAATCGATAATAAGGAGACACTCGTGTTATTGTGGTGCCTTCAAATGCTGCCAGGAACTTTACAACACGGACAAAGTCGACCCAAATGTGAAATAACCGACCGAGAGAGCTAACCCTAAAGGACAGCTCCACACTTTTTATTTTTACATAATGGCTTCCAGGTACATTAATGCGATTTATACGTGTTTTCTACTGTGAAGTTAAACCCAGTAAGTAGGCCTACATTTACTTAAATACTGAGTATTTACATTTAATTCTACTTTATATCTCTCTTCCGCTACATTTCAAAATAAAGTACTTGTAACTATAGCACTATATTTATTTGACTATTTGCTACAGTTACTTTGCAGATCACAAATTAATATATAATATAATGTGATAATAAATATAATCAGATGCACTGATATAAATGGATATATGATGGAAATTGAAGTTGAAAGGCAGCAAAAGAAAGAACATTTGCATGATAATTAAGTGGTAAATAACCAATAAAAACTAGAAATCTATGTACACAATGAGCATCTACTACTATAAAAACCAAAGCATGAAAAAACTAAAAGAAAATGTACTAAATATCATATACGTAAAATCTAAATAGTTTACTTTTGGTACGTTTGTTGAACATATTTCTGTACTTTCAGTAAAAGTTTGAATGCAGGACTTTTACTTGTAATGGAGTATCTTTTTTAATCCTATTGTATTTTAACTTGTAGCACAAATGAAGTGTATTTCTGTGTCTGTATGACTGCCTGTGACAGAGAGAGGCCGGTGTGCAGAGGCTCAGCTGTCACTTCTCATGGCCCGAGTTCTGCGATGAACGGCGGTGCTTCCATCAGGAGTTTGTGTATGACATCGCCATGTTCGCCGCAGCCCGTGGCTTCCCCTGGCCCGACGTGATCCGGGCAGCCGAGACCGTTAAAGACATCTTCCCACAGCTGGACGGTCAGAGCAAACAGCGGCGTGCAGTGTGTGTACAGAGGCCTTGCAGGTGACACAGTGCTTCAACTGGAGGTCATGATCAAGGACCTTTAATGTCAGAGAGAGCACTGTGTTTCCTGATGGCCTACAGTATGTTGAAAGTTGTTGGAATAGCGTGTAGTGGGGCGTGCTTTCCTTCACTAATGATACACAAAATCATATGAAAGCTTGTCATTGGTGATCATCTAGTATAGATGTTCTTTTTCAAGCCTGGAACCCAAATTTGTGAGTCATCTCCAGGGATTCATTCCCTGTGTGTCTTATTAAAACATTCTTCATGGAGTATTATTAATGTAGGTCCACTACATGTCGAGCTGGAAGTTATTTTGAGGTTCTTTTGAAAGCCACAGAGCACAAATCTGATATTTTTTTGGATTAATAAGACTCCTCTCCTGGCTCCTGGACTTTATTGTCTTCTGTCCATCAGGTCTCGACGTACCCAAGCTGTCGTCCTTGCTGAGAGACGTGCTGTCTGAGTGTTTGCCCAGCCTTACCTCTGTGCACCGACATGAGTTCACCCAGTTCCTCACCGACACCTGCACCACCCGGCGGAGGCTTTTCCAGGCGGTGGTGGGCGGAGCCGCTAACATGTCCATTGCTCAGCTGCACTTGGAGGTGCAGCTGCCGCCCACACCCTGTCCTCTAGCACAGGTAATGAAGCCCTTGTAATCAGTAAGTTGCAACCAGACAGTCAGAATTAGCATTAAAATGTCTAGAAAGTCTCATCAGTGCATTGTAAATATATGTGGGCTTTAATTTGGGTTTTGGTCAAGCTTTCAGGATGCATTTCAATAACATTGATAATCTCTTTTCATCTACTGCCATCATCAGGTCATTTTTTAAATGTGACCACAAAAAAACGTTCCCATCAGCCTCGGCTTGCATGCTGATGTTAGCATTTAGCTGGTACAGCCTCAAAGAACTGCTAGCTGGGCTGGTTGGGTCAGTATATGTTGATTCACCATAAGTCAGACTTAATTTCAGGCCTTTTAGAAATATATGTTGACATCTCTTTCACACATTATGGCTAACCTGACTTGTAAACACAGACTGTACAGACTTCACTTCAACAAAATGCCCATTGCTGATCAGTGCACTGTCCCCGTGCTGCAGGGCACAGACCTGCACGAGTGGGAGTATCAGCGCCATCAAGCCGAGCTAAGCGCAACGTTGCTTCAGAAGGAGGAGAAGCTGAAGGCGCTCCGAAATGGGTCAAGGGTAACACTGGGGGAGATAGAGGTACCTGAGGATGAGCATCTGGACAAAGAGGTAAGACAAAAGGGACACAGGACAGAAAACCAGTGAGCGCTTTTGGGGATATCTTTCATAACCTGACTAGCATTGTGTTTGCAATTCTCTGTAGGGGGTTTTGGCGCTGGTTCGTGCAGCAGTGAGGGCCACAGAAGACCAGATGCTGGCGAGTCTGACCCAAGAGGCCTCCCTGCTCAGTGACATCCTGCAGATCAAGCTGCAGCAGGCTGCATTGGCCACCAGGAGGCTCCACAATCCTGTTCTTTCAAATGCAGGTCACATTAGCTCCCATCCAGACGCACAAGCAAAGGCAAAGCCGAACACAGCAAAAACAAAAACAGGACAGAGAGAGTCTGGAAATGCAGTAAAGACTGGACCTCAGTGAGAATTATTTAATCTAACAATTCAACTCTCTTGCTTGTGGATTATTAAGTTTTTGTTGTAGTTCCTGCTTCAGTGTCCAGTGTGGAATAACTTCTAATTATCCATTGAGGGGATACTATACTGGAAATTCAAAAGATGTTAATTGTCAAGAACAGTGAGACTAGACGCGCAGCAATGTTCACAACCTGCTTTATGATCATGTGCATACACACTGTGAGTGTTTACAAATGAAAAGTCATAAGAACTGGTTTCATTCAAGTGCAATTTTAAAAAAAAGTCTTTTGATTTGACAGAAAAAGCTGCAAAGAATAACATTATAAATAACATCAATATTCAAAAACACAGTTTGAGCTCTAATGCCCACTCCCTTCATTCTACACATCTCTTTCACAAAGCTAAGAGTCATTAAAGTACAGCTCCACAACTGAAGAGCTCGATACTCCTGCATCCACTGAATCAACATTCATCAATATTTAGCACCGAGATTGCAAATTCTAAACAGAAAGCGACAATTAAAATAATTCAAATAGAAACAAAAATATTAAAAGCATCTAGTGCAAAGGTCGAGTAGCTTTAAAAAGCTATTCTTCTTTTAACTTAAACCTTTATTTTACAGCCTACAGCCTTGCTACGATTCCCTTCCTGCAAACAGAACCATCACATGAAACAACTGCAGCAGGCAACTACGGTTAAAGCACCTGTAAACTATCCCTACAGGACCACTAGCTAGGGTTTCTATAGTAACAGTACCCGAGGTAAAGCCTTTCAGTGTTTATGGTCACAGTACATATTGGTGACCAGTTGGAGTGCAGCTCTTACTCAAAGCCAACTGGTTTTCAGGATGGCAGAAGTGCCCCCTAAGGCAAAGCGTTTAGCTGCTACAGATGACATGCATATTCAGGAGGCTGGCAAAGTCATCTGCACACGTACAGACACAACGTAACAGAAATACTCAGATAAAGTACATTCAGAGAGAGAGAACTCAGCTCTCCTACTATTTCAGTAACTCTAATCAAACATTGGTTTTCGCACAAAAGCTAAATGGATGGACAAGAAGAGAGATGAGATGGACGGATGAGGCATGGTGAGATATATGCAGATGAGTGCAAAATCAAATCTAATCAAAAATATATTACTGAGTGGTCTGGAATGTTTTTATAGCTCTCATATTGAGGTTTATATATCTTAGTTTCATTGTCTAATTGGTGGTAATTATTTCAATGATCCCAATCCTAATCCCCCTGTTTGATATTTTTATTTTTTTAATTTGTTTTTATTAATTTAGGATTTCAGGTAAGACTTATTTACCTGAATTTTGTTAAGACGTAACTTTTTAAAGTGAAATAGTGAAGGCTAAAAATTCTCTCAAATCCTCAAAGTCACACACTTTCTGATAAAGCTTTGTATGGAGCAAAAGCTACAAACAGCTCAGTAGGCCTGTGCCAGCTGGTTGCCCGTAGTGATGTGAGTCAGCATGGTCTGCACCAACTCCTGGAGGTCGTACTCATGCTTCCAGCCCCAGTCCCTCCTCGCCGCACTGTCCTCTAACGCCATTGGCCAGCCGTCCGCTGAGAAAACACGTATAGGATATTTGATGCTGTAATAATATGACATATCATTGTACCACTCTCACTCTCCCAGCTATCTCACCTATAGCCTGCCGGACAGGATCCACGTTGTAGGTGACCTTGAGGTCAGGCAGGACTTTCTGTATCTCCTGGATGAGGTCATGTGGTGTAAAGCTCATGGCGTTGATATTGTAGGTGCGTCTGACCAGTGTGTCTGCCGGAGCCTCCAGGATTTCCAGAGTAGCCCTGAGACAGTCATCTGCACAGGAGGAGGCCACAGGGCAATGTAAAAGGAGAGCAGGAGAGGAAAGAGATGGAGGACAAAGAGGAATATTACTTGAAAGTGTCAACAGGGAAAAAAACACTACCACAAAATGACATAACAGTGGCATTACCAATGTACATCATAGGAAGTCTTGTGTCACTGCGTAGGTTGCACTCAAAACAACCAGTCTTCACAGCTGCATGGAAGATCTGGACTGCATAGTCTGGAAAAAGGAAAAACATATGAAGATTAAGACCAACAACGGCAGAACATGTTATATCTCATCTGTTTAATGTGTTTGATTAGTGAGCTTTGTGCTAAGCTAACCTCTCCGGCTGATGAGTCAGCAAAAGACAACATTTAAAAGCTACAACAGCGTTGTTAAGACACTTCCTCCTCAGACCTGCTTACCTGTGGTGCCTCCTCCAGGCTGGGAGTCAGCTGAGATGATTCCTGGATACCTGAGACAGCGGAAATCCAGCCCATACCTGTGGTGGTAGTACTGACAGAGAGAGAGAGAGAGAGAGAGAGAGAGAGAGAGAGAGAGAGGTACAGCTTCAAAAACACAAAGCAAAACATCTGGCTTTACAGGGATTTGTGGTGAAACACTGAGGAAAAATGTACTTAATGTATCTTGTATCTTGGAGTGTTAGTATGCGTCTGTGTGTGTCTCACCTCACCCATCAGCTCTGCGTGGACCTTGGACACACCATAGATGGTTTGTGGTCTCTGCACACACAGATCAGGGGTGGGGTCCCTGGGTGAGGATGGGCCGAAGGCACCGATTGTGCTGGGGACAAACACACGTAGACCATGTTCGGTTGCTATGTCTAATATGTTATGGAGACCTATAAAGAAAGAGAGGCTGTGCATAAGTGTCTGTGTTACGATGGCTCTACCCTTAGAATCCGTATTAAAGTGTCTTAGCTCAAGCAGTTTCACAGCAATATAACATTAATGTACGTGCATGTACCCGTGATGTTGACCTCTTTCGCCAGCGTGACGTTGCTCTCTCCCACAGCGGACAGCACAGCTGAGTAGTGAACCAGCCAGCTGATGTTGTTGTTGACCACGATCTCCCTGAGGTTTTTATAGTCCAGGATGTCTGAGAAGATAAATGGACCTGCACACAGAAGTTACTGGTTTGAACAGAGTCTTCCCACTCACCTGTGGACACTTTTACCCTAAAGAGCCTAGTTTAGGAACCCCTAAATGGAAAACACATGCAAAAATACACACCATTATGGTAGACGTGGTTGGGGGGTTTCCTAATGTCTGACAGGATCACGTTGTTTTTTCCAAATCGTCTCCTGAGGGTGAAACATCAGTATGGTCAGTTCTGAGAACATTGGGGACAACACTGATCAATTAACCCCGAACAGAAGATCTGAAACGTGTGTAATAACTGTTGTCACAGCCTTTGTGAGCTACTGATCACGTTCCTAGTGTCAACTTCTGATAGTGGCACTTGGATTTCTTCCAGTTGCCGTGCTGTAACACTTTCATACTGGACACAAACAACTATGCCACCTTTGGAAATAGACAAACAACTGAAATAGGAGCGCTTATGTGAACTCCTTACCTAAGCAACTTGGCAAGACCCACCCCCAGCTGGCCGAGCCCTCCTGTAATGATAAAAAAGAGACAATGAGTTAGCATGGAGTCATTATCACTGTGTTTGACTTGGTATTATAGAAGGAAGCTTTGAGTACAAAGAGAGAGCGAGAATAAATAACAGCCTGAAAACCAGAAAAATTATGTAGTGCACACAGACAAGTGCATTAAAAACCAACCAGTGATGAGGACTTTGGGGTGGTCAGTGTCAGTGCAGGATGAAGGATGAGTTCTCCCAAAATTAGAAAACTGTTGTGAGGATGAGCTGATACCACGTACTGCCGAGATCAACGGCTCAACGCCGCACCGGGAGCTGCTCCCAGCATGCTCCACTGCGCCTCTCAGCAACTGCATCACCAGCATCGTACGCCGCCTGTGAACAGAAGCATGCGTCAACAGCCACAATGGTGACAGGTGTACTTTAAGATACCCTGGCTGCGTCTACTACCATGGTGCACTGTGTTGTCAAGGGCAACTCGGGTCACTGAGCTTAAGGCATGTGGGTGTCATTCTAGACGATGTACAGAACAGTGTGTACTTCTCTAATTTGTGGTAAGAAATGTCCAGGCTGTCATAATATGGTTCTTGAATTGCTGTTGCTTAATCTTGTTTTAGTAAACCTCGCCTCTGAGGGGAGAAGGTTTAAAGGCACATGTTGTGTACTTTATTAAGTGTGAACAGTCAGAATAAACAAACACACTACATGTGTATAAAGTCTTGGCTAACCCCCGCACACACACCCATGTCAGATTAGCTTCTTACAGCCTGCTGCTGTCTTGGTCTAAATATAAACTACTTCATCTATACTCCAGACCACCTTTAAGCTCACAGGGGCAGACTAATGTGGCCAAATCCAACCTTGACATGTGCAATTAGAAAAACCGTGCAATCTAGTAGCCCTGCGATAGGTATTACTTACATGGACCTGCAGTGTGAAGGAAAACAGCACATAAACGATCATTTACGAGTTCTACATGTCTGAAAACAGCAAGACATTTAAGTAGGTGTTTTTTTTAAAACGTGACCTTCTCGCCTCAAAAAGCACCTGTTTTCAGTCCAACAACAACCCCAGCTCTCTGGGTGCTAACCTAATGTTACCTGCTGTCTGTCAGCTGTTGATTTGTGGAGGCCAGGCCGACTAACATCTCAATATCTCCTCCTGCTGCTGCTCGACGTTAGATAACAGTAACGTTAGCCCAGCTATCACTTAACAGGCGGACATTAACTTTAGCTAGCTGGAGCTGTTGTGTAAACGGAGCCCCGGCGGCTGCAGGCGGTCGCAGAAGTGTCTACAAAAGACGTACAATAAGATGACATTTGTTTCTTACGTTTAGTGTGGACGGGAAACGTGAAAAAGACGAGTTGAAGCTCCTCTACCCGGTCAGTGTTTGTGTTGAAACATCAAAGTAGTCGCGTGGATCGTTGCTCTGTGATTGGTTTACAGCTCGAGAGGCTTGGCGAACTACTTCCTGTTATGACTTTCAAAATAAACTCCGTATAAAGTAAATTCATTAATTAACTAACTAACTTCCTGTGCTGCGGTTACTGTGATTGCTGGTTCTAATTATCAAAAGAGAAGATGTGCACTAAATGGAATAATTCAATGCACTTTAAATTGTCCTGGAAAAATGACTGCCTACTTTACATGCTTAGTGCTTAGTAATGCTTACTGAATAACATTAAACAAATATCTGGAATACATTTTGATATAGAGGAGCAAAAACACAATAAGTAATGCAATCCAATTACTGTTAACAAAAATAACTAATTATCTGTCTTGATGGAGGCGAATTGTCACCTTTTGTTGTTTCCTTAAAAGGGTGAAACAGCGCCCCTCTGGTGAATGGGGCTCAGTGTGTGGTTAAAGGCGGTACTGCACCCTTACATCAGGGAGGCC